CACAATTGTCCTTGAAAACTTCATTGCACATTTCAGAGCTGAGGCATATAGCCAGAGCAATGCTGCCCTTGTAGAAACAAGGTTTGGAAAAATTAAATACCACAAGAAATTGACTTTATATTTTTGAGGCTGAGGTATATAGCCAAAGCAACAAACTGTCGAAACCAAGTGCAGCATCAAGTGTAAATATTTTTTTCAAAAAATTCAGTCAACACTTTTTAAACCATGGAAGGGATATTCCCAAAGCAAGCTGCCTTTATAGAAACAGCACCAAGAGTACAATTTTTTACTTTGAAAATCTGGTTAAAAAACTTTTAGAGCTAAGGCATATAGCCAAAGCAAGCTGCTCTTATAGAAACAGCAATGAAAATAACACTGCAACGTTATTAGATATCCCAAGATACCTGCTAACACTTCGAACCACATAGCAAAGTCAAACAGTACAGACAAAAAGTGGCGCCTTACTTTTCATAAGCACTACTCGACGAAGCTAAATGATTGGAAATCTCACAGAGACCTTGGAAAAATAATAAAGTTACAATGCCCACTGCCAATGTTTGTCTCGTAATTGGTTTCTAACTATAGTAGAAATAAGGCATATATATCGTTTCAAGATAACAGCATGCACCCCCACCCATTCCTTATTTTCTCCAAGTAACTTCAAATTCATTAATTGAGAGCATGTGTGTGTTAACTTAGATTGCATAAATTCATGTATTTCAGAATAGCAAGACAGTATAAGACATGCCGTAAAATGTTTCTGGCTTGAATATTAACTGTAGTGTTAAGTGAATGCAAGAGATAAGAGAGATATAAACTAAAAGCCATTATATAGGCCATGGTTTGCATCAATGTATTTACTCGTGTGCGTGTCTACTTTATATGTGCAGCTACAAGATCATGAGGTATCGTGCATGATGTTTTGTATCTGTTCATACTTTGATATAAATCATGTTTTTTTCATAAATACATACACAATATTATATGTTCAATTACAAAATATAGTAAGGCAAGATATAATCGTATATTTACAATGTTTGCTGAGAAATCAAAAACGTATTTACATACAAATGATTTTACAACCAGACCGAATAGTGACCCTATAGTTATCATTTTACAATGTTAATTCCGAAAGCCGCAATTGACCGCATTTCAAGAGCCGAAGATGATTTCAATCAGGACAAGATAGAGAAAGAGGAAAGAACCTACGGGATTATGTCTGCCATTTGTGGCAATGGTTTGTGTTAGTGTGCATGGCTTTTTAGCCATTTCTTAGGTCAAATATGGGTATATATAACAGTTAAGATATGTTTTCAGTTTTAACAGACAAATTATCAACCTAAACTTTAGCGCAGCCCTAAGCACAAGCGAGCAGTTCTAAGCGCAAAACCGATTAAAATATTTAACCGAATTTAAGAAACGTTTGCCCACATGCATCATGCATTAGCTATGTTCCTGGTGGCCAGAACTTAGTTAACTGAACTTAAAACCTTATTTAACTTAAGTTCGTTAACTAAATTAGTTAACTTCGTTAAGTTAATCATGCACAGACTAACCCCTGCATGCACATTTTTTGACCACCAGGCTACTCTAACCTGTACGATGCTCGGGCATCGATGATGCGTTGCTGTTTGGCGTCGATTTGGCGTAGTCAATATGGCGTCGAGGTTGCCTACATTAGGCGTAGATTTGCCGTCGAGGTTGCCTACATTAGGCGTAGAGTGCCGTCGAGGTTGCCTACATTAGGCGTATAGTGCCGTCGAGGTTGCCTACATTAGGCGTAGAGTGCCGTCGAGGTTGCCTACATTAGGCGTAGAGTGCCGTCGAGGTTGCCTACATTAGGCGTAGAGTGCCGTCGAGGTTGCCTACATTAGGCGTAGAGTGCCGTCGAGGTTGCCTACATTAGGCGTAGAGTGCCGTCGAGGTTGCCTACATTAGGCGTAGAGTGCCGTCGAGGTTGCCTACATTAGGCGTAGAGTGCCGTCGAGGTTGCCTACATTAGGCGTAGATTTGCCGTCGAGATTGCCTACATTAGGCGTAGATTTGCCGTCGAGGTTGCCTACATTAGGCGTAGATTTACCGTCGAGGTTGCCTACATTAGGCGTAGATTTGCCGTCGATTTGGCTTGTCGGTAATAGCTCAAAAAAGAGTCCATCAACCTGAAATAAGATTAAAGAAATAAGCAAACTACATTTTTTATTGAGAAGAAACACGCGTAAAATCGGAATTGTAGACAGACCCAAAACAAGATCTATAAAACCCCTGTGGGATTTCAAGTATTTCCTTGTCGTTATTAATATTAAATATCATGCGGCCGTTGTCGTTCTTGACCTGAATCATGCATAAACTCCCCATTGTTCGGTTTATCTAAAAATGTTTAATTGCTTAATACTCACGTTATTATGAACAGGTTTTGTCGTTGTTTCAAATGGCTTGACCCGCTAAATCGCTACCTGCAATAAAACCAAAAGAATGCTTGTTATAGACAGCGATTTCAAGGATTTACCTTCGATGAAGGGAGCTTAAATATCGGAAGAAAACTTGCGGTGATTATTCAGTTGAGAGGACGCATGATGCCTGATCAAGCGTTTCAAGTTCATCATCCTATTTTGAATAAAATAGACCCAAAATTACCTGTTCATTTCAGCAACAAGTGTTGAAGAGCAGCTTTGGACTTGCCGTCTCTTTAAATGCGAGTCATCTCGGGGAGTTTCAGCTATGGGTTTTCTTTCCCAGCTCATTTCTATATTCGGTTTGGTTTTAGCTTTTAAACTTCACTGACCTGGAAGAACAAAAGGCAATGTTAGTTTACTGGTTTGGTCTTTATAAATCAATTGAAGCGGCTCACATGCGATTTAGCGTATATTACCTTTTTCATATCATCAACAACTCCCAAGAAAATGCGTAGACGTGCTTTCTCTTCAAAGGCGAGTTATCTTGAATCAAATGCGAGTCGTCTCGGGCAATTTCAGCTACGGTAACGGACTTTTTGCCCACTTCACTTCGTTCAGTTTGGTTTTAAGCTCTCAAACTCCACCTGGAAGAACAAAAGGCACCATTAGTTCACTGTTCAGGTCTTTAGAACTCAATTCAAACGTAATTTGCGTGTGGTTAGAGGGAAGGTTAGCGGCTCTACGGTAAGATTTGACGTATATATATTACCTTTCTCATATCATCAATATTCCCCAGAAAAAGCCTAGACTTGCTTTCTCTTCAAAGGCGAGTTATCTTGAGCCAGTTTAGCCACAATTCATCGGTCGTCAATCTCTTGTTCACAAATTTCATCGTTTAACTTCGCTTTAATACGTCAAAATTCTGCATGAAAAGAATAAAAGCTACGTTAGTGCTATACAAGTTTGTATTTGAGCTGAGCACTACACGAGAAAGGCATTACAAGACGTGAACTAAAGACACGTGGAACCTCAGCCCAAAAGCTCAAGATGAAACAAGCTGATAAAACACGCAAAGGGAAAGGCATATTACCTGGTATTACACCAACGACAGTCTGTTAGAGATAGTAAACTTCTATTAAACTTCTCTTCTGCTGAAGACGATAGCAATCTGATAGCAATTTCTGTTGAAATTTTCTTGGCATGGAGGAGACTCGTCTTTGTTCTTCGAAGACCAGCGTTGAAGTGATGTCTCAAACTGGAATCAAAAGCACATATTATTCATTTCACCCGCCCCTCGTGTCTGCAAAATAAAGTCATCCTATTGGATGAACACTCCCGACCTGACAGCTTAACAACGCTTCTGATTGGACGTTCATAGTAATTTGAATAATATGATTAATTCTCTTCTCCTGAGCCTGAACATCAGAAATGAAAGGAAAGAATTAATCATATTATTCAAATTACTATGCTCGTCCAATCAGAAGCAATGTTGAGCTGTCAGGCCGGGAGTGTTCAGCCAATAGGATGACTTTATTTTGCAACACGAGGAGCGGGTAAAATAAATATCTAGCGTTGCCACATCACAACATGGATAACATGGAGTCGGAATTCTGGAGCAGCAGTTTCAGAGCCGGAGGCCCGGAGTCAAAATTACGGAGTCTGACGTAAAAATATTTGAAAACACGCAGTCAAAAATCATGGAAAACACGTAGTCTGCCAAAAAAATGGAAAACACGGAGTATAAATGTTTGGAAAACACGGAGTCAACGTAAATTATACATATATTCATTAATGAAGGATCGCTCATAAGTCTATACTAATTTTTTATACCACAGTAATAGTATAAAAGAAAGAATACACAATAACAAAAGATTATAGCTATCAATGCCTCTTGCTCAAAGTCATAGCATTATTGTTGTAGCTAACTACATTACGTGTCCTTATATCATCTTAAATCACACCAAAACTGCCACATCCAATTTCCTCTTTGTCTACAATATCCTCCCATTTAAATTAAGGAATATTATTTATGTTTAAGGATATAAGTTTTTCGGTCGTTTATTTACCATTTGCGGAATAGCAAAAACGTTACGCGAATTTGACGCCATGTTGTTTAAAACACGCTATCAAATAATTCACGTTGAATCATTGACCACTGAGCTTGGCAGACTTCCAAACATATAAAATTATATACTCCGTGTTTTCTATATTTTTAACAGACTCCGTGTTTTCCATAATTTGTGACTTCGTGTTTCCCATATTTTTAACAGATTCCGTGTTTTCCATAATTTGTGACTCCGTGTTTTTCAATATTATTACGTCAGACTCCGTAATTTTGACTCCGAGACTCCAACTCCGAAACTCCGGCTCCAAATGTCCGTATTTCACCGAAATCCCTACTTCACTACACGCTAATTATCCCTGTGCCGTAATACCGTGTAACAGTGCATCAAAATATCTTTAAGTTGTCGCAAACACGGACAAAAGGATAGAACAATTAGCCTAGTTTCAGACATTTAGCATTTTAGTTTACAGACATTAGCCTAGTTTCCAGACCATATCGTAATTGTTTATAATATGATTTGAATATCCAAACATTAGGCTGTTCACTGTGTGTTGTGTTGACACTTGAGAACCACTTCCTCAAAACATTCAGAAAGAATTTGATATCAGGAAAGAGTTAAAAGGTTCTTTATTCCTCACGGTAAGAATCTACAAATCATTGGTATGAAAATGTATTTCGTAATCCTTCACAAAATCCACTCGTGGAATGATATGGCTTGAAACTTTGTGACCGGCTGACCGCCTATTCAACTTTCATTCTCAAATCAAAATGCACTCGCATATTATCGTAGATGTAGAATGTATTTAGTGCTTATTGTATACGGAGAAGTATCGGGATTTTGTTAATGATTATTTGTCGTCATAAATTTTGACTATATTAAGAAATAACAGATATAAAGTATCAAAACGTTTTAGTTTAGTCATCATCGCCGGACTCAACTCTATAATTAAGACTGATATAATTATTCATGCATACAATTGTGTTCTAAATTATTCATTACTTTGGAATCGAACTTTTTTTGTCAATTAACTGAATTTTACCGCTTCTCCGTCGAAAATCTAATTTCATTTTCATTACCAACACGCTTCTCGCGATGAGAATCACCCGCTATTTTTTTGAAAGGGGAGTTCATGTACTTTCAATTTTCCTAAACGAAAATAATGTAAAATCATCTTTAAAGAATCAACAAACCATTTTGCGGAATAAATTTATTCTTTAACTTTAAACTCGCATAATTAAAATCGCATAATCAAATAGAGTCTCAAAATAGCGGAACATTCATCCGAATTTTTGTATACTTTCCAATATACCCGCAATCACACAGCAGTGTGGACCAGTGGAAGCTTCTTCGTCTCTAATTTAGATTTGTGCAAACAAGAGTAACTCATAAACCTTTTTTATTTCTATTCCAAGACTGGTAGTTCATCAGTCAAGACGATCATGGCTTTCGGCGACAAAATCTTCTCGTAAGTAAACGTTTAAAGGACGAGAGATTTTATTTCCTTTATACTCGGTATTATAGCTGTCTCTTTTCAATAAGTTTTTGACTCGCTAACTTTGTAAAAACGCTTTACAATTCCATTTCCAACGAGGTCACAATTTACTTCAATTCATATTTGGTCTAAGATAATGTGCTTCTGTTAACTTCGTTCTTCTTCCTATCTTAGAACGAGCGGAGGCAAATGCATTCGGAATCTTCTTATTGCTGTCAATGTTTTATTTTTGGTAAGAATTTTTTTAAGCGTTTTTATAAGTTGCAGCAGGGGCGTCGGAAGCGGGGGGGCCGGGGGGGCTCAGGCCCCCTCACTTTTTTATTTGGGGGGGGCCTAAGTATCATTGGGCCCCCCCCCTTTAATTTGACAAAGGTAAGTAATAAACCACAAAGTTATGATTGAAAAATTGATAAGCTAAAAACACTTTAAGTTAAACAATATTTCAGAAATTTGTATTTAGAAACTTTAAAAGTTGCGCGTACAGTCGAGAGTCGATATTAGCAAAATAAACATGAATGCAGAAAACCAATGTCCGAAATATGTTTTATTTTGAGGTTTAATGACATTTTTATTGTTAGAATTCTTTAAATCTTCTCCCAAAGTGCAGGATATGGCGTTTCAGTGTTCAGACTCTGGTTTTAAAAATTTCCCAGAGGGAAGGCATGCCCCTGTAACAGTGTAACCTTTTAGAAAGTTGCCCACATTTGGCACTTGGCAGGCACTTTGTGGGCCCCCTCACTTCTGGCGGCGTTCCGACGCCCCTGAGTTGCAGTAACAAATAAAATTAATATCACGAGGCTGGGATCATCCAAATCTTTGATAACCATATTGTTTTAAACCTGTGGACACTGGAAACAGCTCATCTTCGGAACACAAATTTAACAATCAAAGTTTCTTAGAATTTGGTAGAAACAGGAAAACTCGAGAAATTATTGTGGGCTACGCTCCAGTGTCTGAACAGAGGTCAGAAGACTACATCCAAAATAAGCGTAAATGCAGTTTTGGGGAAAGAAAGTTTTGTTCCTGATCATTTGCTCTTCCGCAAATGTAATGTAACTTAAAACGTTTGAAAATGAATGTACATCATGTGTATTTTAAGCTTGGGGGATTGGCCATTCTTAGTTTGGGGATCTGGGTTCAAGTGGAGAAAGGTGATTATGTTGCTCTAGCTGACTCAGATACAGGTTTGACTGGAGCAATACTTCTCATCGTGGTTGGTTGTTTGACTGCTCTCATATCTGTTTTTGGTTTCATGGGAGCAATAAAGCGCAGTGCTATCTTGTTGTGGTTTGTAAGTTTGAATTAATGATTGCCATTTATCGTATGCAAAATGACCTCGTAAACTGTAATTTGGCGCTATCTTAGTTGATTTTTAGTATATTTCACTCTAAGAAGAAAAAACTAAATTATTTCGATGACGAATACCTTGCCATTTTCTCGGGTTATTTCATGCAATTCATTAGTATACGCAAGACGTCGTAACAGGAACTGTGTTCATTTCATTTTAATAAATTGATCTCCATATTGTTATAATTGTTCAAATCCAGTTAAAGAAATTGAAAGTACCCCCCAAAGGTAGCCACCATGACATAATTTTATTACCATTGGTCATGATGATAATCTCATGCACAAATTTTAATTCTTAACGAGGTTCGGCCATTTTTTGTATCGATTCCTAGGAATGGCTGGGCTAATTTGCTGTTTATTCATCCACTAATAATGGAATGTGGGAAAATTCCAGTAATCTTTCTAAACATATAATGACTCTTAGCAAATTTATTTAATTCTAAAAATTATGGCAGAAGTAGTGAAGTAAATATTGTTATGATTCTGCTCTAGTACCTCTTTCCTCATCTTAATTACGTTCGTGCAAATCGTTGCCATTGCCTTGGGAATGTTGTATTCAGAAAAGGTAGCCAATAGAGTGACTGAATGTGTTTTTTGAAGGATTTAATGATATATGACATATGAAACAACAATTGAGTTGAAGGAACAATTTTCTCGTTCGTAGATTGAAGATGAATTCCATGGGGATATGATAAAATCTATCGAGGAAGGTATATAACAGGGATATAATAAAGGATTACTAAGCTGGACTGGCACAGGAAAAGGTAATAGTTTTTTGTACCGCGTCTTGATATCAGCTGACGATAGATCATGATCAAATTATAAAAATTAAGTATTCATTATGTTAGTTCAATGTTGTGGTGTAGACAATTACACAGACTGGATTTTCGCACCCTCATTCAATCCAAAAGGACTGCATACTCTTGTTCCAGACAGTTGTTGTGAAGGAAACACACAGCATTGTAGAAACCTTAACATTTTCAATAAAACTGGAATTTACACTAAGGTGCGTAAAATAGTGAAGTATCTATATACGGTATAGTGTATTGTGTCTACAGCCACTTAATACCGATAAATTGAACGTACTTAAACATTTTCTGGGAAGATTGAACTACACTCAGTATTTTGACATAGACTAATATTTATATGTACTGTATGTAATATGTATTGCATTTTTCAGCCGTGGTATTCATTCCATAAAAATCATTTTAGAACTCCAATTTGGAATCCCATCATTCAAATGCATCTGATTCCAATATTTTTATGACAGGGTTGCTTCCGTGAACTCAAAGAATTCATCAGGAATCATGTACTTAGCATTGGTTTGGCAGCGCTTTTCTTTTTGGTCTTTGAGGTAAATTATTAAATTTTGCCTATATGCAGTTTTAAAGAGGCAAAAAGCAGCTGACATGAAATTGGATTAATTGTCTTCGATCTAAGCTCCCTTATCCTCACATTGCTTGACTTCAACAAAAATAGCAAACACAGCAATCAAATTAAAGACTCCAGGCCTCTTGCACCCAAAAGAAGTTTGGACAAAGAAAAACAACTAGCATTTCTCTTCAATACGTTCTGTGAGCTTCATTGTCAATTTTAATACACAATAGTTTTTTCTTTTCTCTCTTTATTAACATATTATGTTCATATGTTCCTTTCAGATTGTTTTAATCATTCTCACAATACTTTTGGCAAAAAGCGACAATGATTGATCAGGAATTGTCAAATTTTTTTAAGCATATCTCACGCACAACAACTGGATGTATATAAAGTCACAATTTTACTCTATTTCTTCCGTAATTTTCACTGTGTCTTGTATTTTAACAAAATGATTATTAATGAGGTTATAGCTAGCTACAAGTGCATGGTCGATGGTGGGTGATGTCATGGTTTGAAATTAATGTATGTCAGACGAGAACGATTATGCTTTTATTAAATGAAACGTTTTTTCATGTTTCATTCATCATAAGTAAGTAATTTTGTTAATAAAAAATATTAAATATTATTTAGACTTTCGTAGCTTACTGATTAGCGTGATTGTCTCTCGTATCTCAAACTGCTGGGCCAAGGAAGGGAGGCAAGATGCTGGCTTGCATTTTCTCAGATTTAAAGTAATTTATTTTCATGAGCTGTAGTATATTTCTAAACATAAACACTTAGAAGTCAGCGGACCAAAATGATATAATTTATTCTCGCAGAACATAATATTTTATTGATTTAGGAAGCGTCTGTTCACACTCGTAATGTTCGTATAAAGATGGAATATAGGTTTGTTACTTTTGGCGTAAAAACACTAAGTTATTGTGAAACAGCGAACCACACACTTTCGACAATGTATACCTATTTAAACCGAACTGATAACACGATGCGACAGGGGTTGCACAATCTCTGTTTTTTTTTTATATTCCGGGTCATTCTAAAGGCAACTATTTCTTTAGTGCCGATCGTACTTTTTTTTTCAAAAAGTCGTGTGTGGGAGGCAATATTAATAGTGTCACGAAAGAACTCTCCCGTGAGTGAAATTTTTTGCAACGATTATTTTGAGATGCTGCGTGTGAACATTAAATGGTAGCTTGTCTTGAGCTTAAGAGAATAAATAATATAGTCTCAGCGTAGAACTCGGCGACGTCGGCAATAAAGAGCGAGTCATATGTATTTCATTTTGCGGTCGAAATAAACTCCCACGATTAAAGGTATCTCGATTCTGGTATATTCGATTTATTCATTGAGCATATATGATCATTTGTAACGAATTTAAAATATTATCATATAAAAAAATACTTGGGATTTTTTATTCTAGTTCAATTCTTTAACCTTACACTATAAGTTATAGTAGCAACATATATCTGCAACAATTTTCTAGATCTTAAGGTATTTCACATGAACATTGCGAGACAAAATATATTATTTTCTTTTCTTTGCTCACAATCAAAAATATGTATCAGCCGAAATCATGCATAACAAATGAAGATCGACACAGCGTGACTTTTTCACAACCACATTTCAACACAAGTTGGCGTGAAGTACCAATACGTTTACTGAGCGCTTTCATTTCTTCGCGTAGAGAACTTCACAAGTTAACAAAATAAGAAGAAAAGTGCCGTAAGTATAAATATTATCGTAAGGTTTGTTTGAAAGCGGCGTAAAATTTGGGAAATAACAATGTTACATGTTAGAAGGTCAATATCCAAGTGTTAGATTTAGTAAAAATATAAAGAGCGGCACTTGACATTAAGAAAGACAAGTTTCTGTTCAAATAAAAGAACAATTTAAGTTTGTAATACCTGATAAGTTGGATGTTTGGTTATTTAAATTTAGTTACCTTCTCTTTATATATTTCGTGAGGTTGAATTGCGAATGTTAATAACCCAGCCACGCAAAGTTTAAGGTATAGACAATAACTAGCAACTGCCTATATTTGTTGTTGACACGAAATTTTATTATTTATATTCCTACATTAGTATGAACTGAGTTCTGCTAAAACATCCATAAAAGCTGCGAGGTGCTTTATTGAAAATATTAATGCTCTACAAGTCGAAATACATACATAACTATATACATTTTATTGTGATTTCTCAATTAACCTAAACATCTATTACTATTAGTCCTTTCAAATCATTTGCTTGCACATAGTCGCATATTTTCTGTATCAACCAAGTTGCTGCTGCATTTATTTCAAATATAAGTAATCATTCATAGGGATTATTGTGTTGTGATTGGAAGGATGCTCTATACTTTGCTATGCAATTTCACTGTCCGCATCAATTCCACTGATAATTTTGCTTCATATATTTGATTGATATATGTTGAAATCTGTTTGAGTTTTAGAACCGTGATATTTAACTGTTATTTCAAACTACTTTGTGTACACATGAAGATCGGTATTAAAATTTGTATGTATTTGTTGAGACCGGGAATATTGTGAGTTACTCTGATACCTGTAGGGGGTCGTTTAAACTATTTGAATCTATGTCAATTTTGTCATGTAATGTAGTTATAATGTCGAAATACAAAGTGAAAATTAGCGGTTACTATCAAGGGCTGGAACTTAAAGTGAAAACATACAACGAGTCAGATTTAGTAGGAGCAATAAAAGACAGCCTTGCGTTCAGTTAGGAATTTTGGCTTATCAATGCTTTTGTATAATTATTTTAAAGACAATAATAGCTCAAAATAGCAGAGGATTCCAATTTGATTGAAATAATTGATGAAAACCGCCATCGTGTCAATATGATTAGGAAAGTAATTCGTATTTTAACAACAAATTCAACTTATAAATCATCGCATTTTTCAATTTAATGAAACAGAGTTGTTATATCTTTATCGTGATTGAGCAAGGCAATTTGAAAAGCACCCCAGTGAGACATTGTTTCACCACATTCCACTTGCACGATCCATGGTCAAGTTAAGGCATATTCAGATTGCTGGCATGTTCGGGAAATTCTAAGGAAATTCTGACCTAGGATTGTTTCATATTTTCAGGCGCGTCTAGGTTACTTTTGCAATATAACTGTATTTACTAATCTGACCAGCAAAAATCGTCACAGACTTTCATGTGCAATTCGGTGCAGTGTAATTGTGAAGCCAAAAAGCCATAACTCTTTTCTTTTTATTTCTTCGTTTTTCCTCAATAAGAGTATATAAATAAATGACATCGCAGACCAGAACTTATTTTACTCTGCATACTTATATTCATATTTTTATAAATGATGTTCTCTTGTGACGATTGAGTAAGTCGATTAGATATATAGATTTATAAAATTATTCACATTCGTATTGATAATGACTGGCTTGATTACATCATCCAAATTTATTGCAATCTGAAAATAATGTGGTCAAGCTAGGGATTTAGTTTGTTTATCATTTAGCAGTGTTTGAGTTATAAACAAGTAATTTAAATTTTATTAGATGGGCACCATAACGCTATTAAGCCCCGTTTACACTACACAGCATTTATTGGCACAGCACGGCTTGAATTGGTGGTACTCGTACACAATTTTACTAGCGCTTAGGCTACCAGGCTGCCAGAAAATTGCCAGTAAATTTGGCATGGCACTGGCACTCTTACTTGTAGTTGGCTTTTCAGACAGGAAAATCAACTTTTCAGACAGGAAAATCAACTTTTCAGACAGGAAAGTAACGAATTTCGAATAGAGAACATTGAATGAGAACCGTACTGATAATGTATTATTTTATTATCCTTTGTTTGTTCTCTGTGCGCCAAACCAAGAATAGAGACTAGATTTGAGATTGATTCGAATCCTACGAGAGAAACTGAAGCCTCGACCATACACAACAACTCAGCCAAAGACACTTTGTATGGTTACATAATTAGTTTTTTTTTCTTTGGGTTCGGGAGACCATTTGGTTTGTTTTTAAAAGATATTCTAGCTATATTCTAAAAGCTCACTCACACTCATAAATACTTAATCGCGGTATTTCAACTAAATGAGAGTTGATGTTAAAATTTTACTCAAAACTCAATTTTACTCAAACTTAAGATAGGACTCTCTCATTAACCAAAAGCAACGCAATTGTCAGAAAAAGCAACGCGGTTTCAAATCCAAGGAAAAGATTTTTGTTCTTGTTAGGGCGTGGATAGGGAGAGTGGTAACACTGAAATACCCAGCAAAAACAAATAATTCAGCACTGGTGTTCAATATATTATAGTTGAAGAGTTGAAGTTTTAGGTCCAGAGATTTATCTTTACTTTGGCAAAGACAATTTATTGACACCATGCACTGACTGTCGTACACAAAGTAACAACCCCAGCTTTATTAACTGAATACTTTCAGTCCATATGTACCGCGATGGTGATTTGAAACACGAAGTAAAGTGTATTGCGTTTCGATCAGCACAAATCAGTCATTTCTACCACTTCTTGCTCATTAAAAAAATAATCAACAACGTCTAGTTCTCTAGTTTCATTTCAAGTTTAAGCGGCGCTAAAAAGTTTAATATGCTCTCTTACACAAACATCCAAAGGTCTCTACGACAACTACGAAGTCTTGCTGGGCGGTAGAAAGAATTTTTGAAAACATAAAATAGATGAAATATTTTATTTTGATGACTCACAGGAAAAGTATGACAGTATATATTTAGTCTGATGAGTTTAAGGGGTTCAAACGCTTGTCTCCACTGGCACTGTGTTTATAGTTTCATCAAGAACACCTCTCGAGATTTATCAACTTGAGTGTTACTGGCAAAAGATAATAGAACTTTGTAAGAACTAAAAAAAATTCTTAATAAAGATAAACAGTGAATTATCTTCTCGACATGACATCTAAATTATACGTCATTCATTTTTTGATGTCTGGTCAATAATTATGCAAATAAAATTTATTACAATTCCAGTGCTTTCTATTCCAATTAAGGTTAAACTATAGCTACGTGTTGAGAAGTTTATTTATTTTAAGAATAATTATCGCGCAAAGGCTTAACTTTCAACAAGAATTTCTTAATAATTATTAGTGTTATATAAAGGATCCAAAAAAACATACGTCACAATGAAGTTAGAAAAAGCAACTCATTTTATATTATTTATAAAGTTCTGATTTGCAACACCGCTTTCTGCATAAAAACTATTCACTGATGTATTTGATTATAACGCATATAATTATACCAATTGCTACACATATAAATATTTTGCTGCCTCACCCCCCCCCCCGCCATCTTCTCATCTGGGCGAAATAATAACAAAGGTTTAAGGGGAAAAAAACTAGTAAATTGCCATATGTAACATGCGCAATAGCTTTAATAGATTTTTTTATTTGAACTGCCAAACTAAATATGAACCTTTTCTCTATGAATATCTTTACAGAGGATGGCGCAAGCATGCACGTTTGGTTCAGTAAAGTTGATATTGGTGACCTTCACGTCAATTATCAGTGTAAGTGTTTTTATTGTTGATACTGATTTAACGCTACACTTCGTTTGTCTATCATCTGTGTTTTCTAATCTTCCCGCTGATACCTCATATATATCTTGCAACGCTGGTGTTCGCAGCTGTTCATTGATTCTCTATTTGTAAGGCTTGTACTGTATATTAAACACAGTATATTTCTCAAACTATTGTCACACTATGGCCACTGAAAAATATCAATGAATATTTTAGTGTCTTGGAGCCGCTCTCCTAGCCATTAGTATATATCTGTACGTGAATGAAGATGGTGTCGCTCTGGCAGAAGAAGATCTTGCCGGTTTTGATTCAGGAATTGTTATTTACATATGCATGGGAGCTGGCGCAGCAATGATTGTTTTCTCAATAATTGGTCTTATTGGTGCTATCACCAAGAGCTCTGGAACTTTGTACTTCGTAAGTATTCATATAATTATGAGGACATGCACATGGTATTCATTTATTCCTATCAATCTTCATGCGTGCTAAAAGTCTACAAATTTGAACCTCCTGCAATTTTAACAATTTTTGCATGATCTTTCCATGAATCTGTGCATGTCTGCATGAATATGCTACTCACTACCGATGATTCAAAATGCATTCATCAATCTAAACTTTGCACTTTTCCATTTCAGTTCATGGTGCTTTTGTTCTTAACACTAATATTGGAAATTGGTGGTGGAATTGTTGGCTTCATATGGAGGGACCAGGTATAGTGATCTCTTTCTTTATGACATCATTTTAAATTTCTTCATTTATTCTTATTTCAAGGGTTGTTGAGAATTTTCGATTTTTCCGTTTCCTTAAACATAAATTTGCACTCACTTTTCACGACAGTTTTAAAATAACTTCGTCGGTACATTTTCTAAACCGACGTGAAAACTTACTTTGAGCGATTTAAAAACAATCCGTAAACTATTGCTTTGTTTCTGGATTATTATATGATCTGATCGTTTTAAATTCCTAATATTTATTGACTTCGTTTGTGAAGGAGATTCGTCAGCTACGACGAAATCACTTCATTCACTGATATAAATGCACTTAATGGTCGTTGATGTTCTATTTTGGCAAATAATTTCAGAAAAGCACCGGAACTTGAGTTGAAACTTTGATTGAAACCGTTTAAGCTTATTTAGTCTGCATGTGGTTCAGGTACTTCACAAACTTAGAATCTCGGTCAGTTCACAAACTTTGAGATAACTTTCAGGTACAAGACGACCTGCCATATGAAATGAAAAAATCATTGCAAGAGCACGACAATGATAATGACATCAAGAAAGCCTGGGAAAAAGTACACGAAAAGGTACAATGATTGCACACTGATAACATATATTTTACGCTCTTTATACACATACATACACGTTAATATATGATAACTAGCAGTTATTATTTTGATCTAGTACGAGTGTTGTGGTCGTATGGGACCAGAAGATTGGACCACACTCCAAAAGAGCGTACCGTCATCTTGTAAAACATACAAAGCCGTGAGTATTTTAATTGGGGGTTGAATGATGGTACTAGAGAGATTGATTAATTCCGATATGTATTCATGCCATTGTGTTTCGGAAGAGTTACTTTTTCTTGGCATCTCTAAGTCATTCAGTCATTTAAGACGAAACCCTCATTTATACCCATAGAAAATTGTTTTCTTCTTCAGGGCTGTTACTATGATATCGAGAAGAGCTTGAAACGTACTTTAGAAATGGGCGCTGCAGCATTGATTGCATTTGGTCTCTTCCAGGTGAATCTTTATAATTATTTAATACGATTTGCAATTTGCAATTTGGTCGTGATAGGTAATTACGTCACAACATTATCGTTTGGTTGTGAAACCGGTTGTACCGCTTGCAAGCAGTGGACCTCTCTTTTATTATCAGCATGTTCTACCAGAGATTGTGACATAAATAAAAGATGGCCAGATGTCTATCTCAGGTCAAAAGTGTCCCAAGGCAGCCATTTTGTTGCAAGTCTTTATTGCGTGCGTGATATTCGTCATTTGCCATCACGTCACTGTTTTCATGTCTTCAGAAGAAATACTAGATTTTTTCATTATTTACTCTGTGCCTCTCCCCTGTGACCTCTTTTACAAATGCCTTGGCATTTGCGCAGGTGAAAATTCATTTGAAAATATATTTATATCAATTAAAAGCCGGCAAATTACTAAGAAAACGGCAGGAATGATTTTCCAAATGGCGCCCGTTGGTTTGGTATTCAAACCCGTTGGTTCGGTATTTAAACCCAGCAATAATGAAATATAATATATTTGTAGATGTTGGTAATGTGTTTCACTGGATTGATGTTGATCAAATTACACCGGGGTGAAGGAAAACATTTCATGGCAAACCATAAATAAGAACTAGAAATCGTCGTGCGTAATATTTTTATAATTTTTGCACTCAATAACAATAAATAGGTTTGGAAAAATATACATAACTTCGGTCATATATAACTATTCTGTCATTAAAAACGATATTCTGTATGCAAATATAATGCGTAAAAAACGTATATGTCATTAAATTCCTTCTTTCTCAGAATTTGTGGTTTATTTTCAAACGTTATACATTCCGGTTGAAGTAAGAGACATTAGAAATGTTTCGTTCGAGGACGGGGAGAACGGAGATTTTCTGTTAGGGTTAGGGTAGGGTTAGGGTCATTTTTTATCGCGAATCATCCTGCACACAACGGTCAATTAGTCTGGGGAACTGGGAAGGATAAGATGGGTAAGGTTTGAATTTTAAAGACACGAGCAGTTTACGATAAGAACGGAAACGTCAAAGACGACATCTGTCTGTTTTTCAAAAAAAAAGCCCAGTTGTATACCCCGAGGTCGCAAAGCCCCCAATAAAAAATGTAGAGAAGACTTTTGAGAACATTTAAGAACAAAAATGAATCTGAAGTTAGCTAGAGCAAGCTGTATACTAAACAATGTTGTGATATATATTGAAAACATGTAGCGATATTTGAAACAAATCTTGCCTCTGATACGAGATGACTTAATTTAGGAAATATGACGAGGTCTGTTCCTATTAAAAGAATACTCAAATTTTCATAAAATTTAAAACCTTTCAGCTTCAGAACATATTTATAGCTACAATATCATTGCAGATATCTGAGGATAATATTGGTGAATTAGATTTTAAAAAGTTGTCAGTTTAACGGTAGAGGGAGAGCGGAATCTTGGGTCAATAGGCCTTTTAAACTTTTACCAATTAGCGTGAAAATAAAAAAAAATAACACATTCTTTCATATATGTTCATTGATTTATTATTGACCGTAAACGGATCTAAGTTTAGGATATATATTATAATATTATATACAATAACAATAGGGTACATTTATAATTATATAATAACATATTAATAACTGGTAAACAAGATAAAACGATAATGATCATTTTGATGAAAATTTATGCAATTCATTTTTTAAAATTGTCCATGCAATCTCACTCACATCAAACAGACTTTAGCCATTATGACGTTTTTGCAGCATTATTTTAAAACTATTAAGATGCTGATGATGAACAGAATAATGGCGGATTGTAAAATAATAATGTCAAAGTCTTATAATAGTGGAATAATTCTTAATACGCGAAGATTTCAAGAGCCGGTTTTAACTGGTAAAGGTTTCAATCGATACGTTTTTACTCAAACACACCTTGCAAGAACTAGCAGTGACCTTTTGATATTTTTAACACATTTTTTGTAAAATATAGGAACAACGTACTAGAATTTTTTTCTTTTATAATAAGAATCCTGACGTAATGAAAACAGAAAGAGCGGGTGGCCTGGGTGACTTTTATCATCAATGGCGGGATCAAATCCGACAAGTCTTCATAAAGTAAATCAGCAATAATTCTATTTCCAATAATATCATGATGGGAGCTTTCTTACACGAACTGTCCGTTCTCCTTGAAATAACTCAACAGAAGGAAGGCAAGAACCATGGCCACAAGCTAAAAAATGAATCATTCACTTTTCATTAAATATTACCTTAAATATTAACTAAGAATCCATGACCTATGATAGTCAAAAAGAGTAAATGCTATGCACGCAACAATTACGTCACAACTTCGTAGTTTCCAATTTAGGTTCATGCACGTTAAATGAAACGGATTATATAGCAAGTTTTAAAAGAGCTATGTTCAAAGATGCAAAAACGCCTTTTTCACACTTGAATACAACATAATTATGACAGATAAATCTAAAAAATGAGCATTAACACAAGGTGTTGTTTCGAGGCCTCGCTTTTCTGTTATGGCTTAATATCCTTTTTAAAGTAAAATGTTTTCTCATTCAAGATGGTTCTAGGATGAAAACAAGTTGCGACGTATACAGTGTATGTCAGGAATTTAATGAATTAATTAACGCAAATGAAAGTCATATTTTATGCTTGAAATATATGAACTCGATGGAAAAACTCAAGACAGCAATTCGATGTGGAGATATTTGCTAAAATGGAACTTCACTATTTACATAACACAAATCAAGATTGTATGGCAGGCGTCACGTTTAACTACAAGTAATAATAGTGTTTGTTGTAATGCAATGACCCTTGTAACAGATTGTGTTGTGTTGTGATAGATTGCTTGATCCTTAAACACACTAGTTTAACAATATATTTCTAAATTGTCCTACCTCAATGACCACAAAGACAGCAGCCAATACTCCAATAACCAAAAGATTATTTTCCAAAAAGTCTCTGAGTTCATTGAAACACCCCTAACGGTCAAACACAATTGTCATATTTCAAATTCTGTAACGATTTGATTTGCGGGACCAACAAATATAATTAAAAAGATGGCGTAGTTTACTTCATGGATGGGAAATGCTAACAATAATTCAGAACAGCTGGAAGAAGCAAACTCGTAGAAATAAATTAGCAAAGTTTAATCGCGAAATTTACATTGAGGAAAATTCAGCTTTTGCAAACTTTAAAAATTCAGCTTTTGCCACATTCGGCCACAAATGAATAATCACAATTGTAAAAGATCCTTATCCTAAGACAAAAAGACGAAAACAGTAGCTTTTCCTTCTAAATCAGCCACATTTTGCATGCAGTTACAGGGATTAACAGGTTCAAAATTAGCTATCACCGTTTGCGTCAGGTTTACTGATCTTAAAATTCAAAAATTTCGTGGCTTTCTGCTTTGTAAAATTGATTATTCTCCAGTGGCGTAGCCAGCCTGACGATTTAGTCATGCTATGCAAATTTTATGTTATTATCATTATTCATTTCTTTAGAAATTCATTGTTTTCACAGTCAATGAACACCAAAATATTAGCATAGCATGACTAAAATGTCGGGCTGGCTACGCCACTGTTATTCTCACTTTATAAAAATGTTTGAAACATTCATTGAAATGGGCGGAAAAACCCCTCGGCCTTTCGGGAATTCCACTCTTAATTGTTGATAAGACAAGAGTTGTGTAATCTAAACTTATATTCATTTTGGACCCTTCTATTTTAGATCCCTGTTAGATAAGCGTGGATCGGCTTCCACACATTTTTTGGTAAAATTCTACGCAAAATTTGAGCAACACAGCGAAATTATTTTAAGCATTCGCAAAATTTCGCCGGAAAGTAAAGAGCATACCTTGGTGTAGATAGCATTAATGATAGTTTGATTGGAGTACTTGTAAGGATCACCACAATCCTTTTTCTCAACCACACAGCAACTGTCAGGGACAACGTTATGACTCCCGTTTTTATTGACTTTATTGGGATGTCTCGCCCAGTCAAGAGAGTCGTTTACTCCGCAACATTCAAACTACGCAATAAAATAAATTTAATCAACTTTCATCAATTGAGCAATCGAAGATTTATCTGTTAAGCAAACTGAAAATAAGAAGAGTTTGTAAAATTTACGTAGAGATATCAAGCTTTAGACTTTAGTGCAATGAATTTTATTTAAAAGTATGCGAATTAAACATGGCTTTGCGATGTAAAGAAGTTTAATATTGTGGTTTATAGCGATCCAAATAATTATTTTATCACAGAGTAAAACCAGCAAGAAGTCAGATTTTTCATGCAATTAAATAATGGAGAGAGCTATGTATGTAAAACAAGCCGAGGGGAAAGAGACCTGCTGTGCAATATGGAATACCAATATTTGTACACAAACTAAGCAGCCAATTAATGAATAAAACTATACTCCTCTCGACCAATCAACATCCAGTAATTTTAGTATAGTAATAATAAAATTAAAAACCTTTCTCTGTATCCAATTCCATCCATCCGTGATTCCATCTTGATCTTCCAGTCCATATTCTTCCAAAGAGGCAGTCATATCTTCACGCAGTTCATCTTTTAACTGTGAAGAATTTAAGACAATATTATCAAATGAATAATAACAGACACAATCGACAAACTATTGACGCTTGTAATATTTTTCAACTACAAAGAATTTAGCAGAGATAAAGTACAAATTATTCTCACACGTATATTACTCCAGTTTCATGACTACAAGGCGTGCGCCGACTTGTATGTATAGATACTCATATTATCTTTCATTCACCTTGCTATGTGTTTGTAATAGTGTATATTTCATTCATTTTTTAATGGTAAAACAACGGTTTTGAAGCCATGTCATTGCTTAGCGACTGAGGAAGGAGCAAGAATGCAGTGTATACGAAATATCATGTGTGTTAAGTATGGCAAGTTAAGGAAAAACAGGTGGTTTCAACAGACGGATGCCTGAGTATTTCAAGAACGCCAACAATTGCAAGGAATAGAATAATAAACTGTTCATAGTTAGAACTTTAAATTATTCCGTGATTTTTTACATGATTTCACTCCGGGCATTTTTTCCCGATTCCCGGGCATTCCCGGGCATTCAACGAATCTTCCCGGGCATTCCCGGGCGTTCATTAGTAGGACCGTGGCATTATGATGTAATGTTTATTTAATAACGAGAACAAGTACGACATTATTGTTTCTTATTTCTAATTTCATAAAAGAATAATGGTCTAAAAATATTATTATATCACACATAGAACAGAATTGAAAACAACGATTATTACACAACTTTCAGCAGAGCATTGACTCTTTTCACATTAGGACTGGGTCCAAGTCACAGTTCCTAACAAAGAATGTTCCTCGTGGAAGGATGAAAGACACAAGTTTCCTAATACGTCAGGATTAGTTGCCAGTTACGACCACGAAGTGTTTATTATTGCTATTGACCAGCAAATCAACTTAGACTTTAAAGACAAAATCCAGTCGTAATGTAAACAAACAATTTGCTGGCACCTTGAAATGTAGCTACGTTATGTTTATCGAAAATCGACAAACGTCTGGTTATCGCATAATTAGTTCGCTATGGTTTTAACTGAATATGAGTTAGAGTCTGTGGCATGCAGAAAAATGCATGCAAAAACATCCAAAACCTAAGCAATTTTCAAAATTTGTGGAACCTGCATTTTATGAGCAGAATCAATGCGCAAACCTGGAGACTTCATGTTTAATGCTGCAAGGTGCTTCAAATGAAAATGTTTATCATTTTGTTTCTAATCTGATACACCTACTTTTCCACGATAAACTATGGCAAGAACCAATGCAGCAATCTCTAAGATCACAATCAAGGCCATCATTACCACAAACTATAAAAAAAACAGAATTAATCACAAAAAATTTTAGGGGGTAAATTCTATAACAAGCATTTAAGCACCATTAAAATGTAGCTTTGCTTAGAGATTGTAACAGATAGATCAGTGTACCCAGGGTATAGATAGATCAGTGTACCCAGGGTATAGATACATCAGTGTACCCAGGGTATAGATAGACCAGTGTACCCAGGGTATAGATAGATCAGTGTACCCAGGGTATAGATAGATCAGTGTACCCAGGGTATAAATAGATCAGTGTACCCAGTGTATAGATAGATCAGTGTACCCATGTATAGATAGATCAGTGTACCCAGTGTATAGATAGATCAGTGTACCTAGGGTTTAGATAGATCAGTGTACCCAGGGTATAGATAGATCAGTGTACCTAGGGTATAGACAGACACTATAGATAGATCAGTGTACCCAGGGTAAAGGGTGATGACATCATGTCTCATGCAACAGTACAAATATGAGATTTACCATACAGAGACATTTATAGAGGTTTAGAGGCTTAGGGATCAAAATAATGCTGAGATACCTCCAGTCAAAGACAGATGTATTTGATCAAGACACACAGATTTTCCTGTGTGTCGTTATTGACAATTGTCATAAGATTACAATAAAAATTAAACAAAGGTGTTGACAGAGAGCCATGTACAGTATCAGGCTATCAGCACTTACAATCCACAGCAGAGTTCTGATTTTCTTGTAGGCACCAAGACAACCCAAGAAAGAAATGACGGCTGTGATAAAGCCAGCAATAATTAACAAGAGAGAAGCAGTAAGTCCTCTAGTTGTTGAAACTGCAGCATAATCACCCTTCTCAATCTGGACGTAAATACCAAATGATAAAATACCACATCCAGATAGCTGGCAAGAAAAGGGTTAAAAAACATGTGATTAAAAATAATTAATTGCAAAGAAGATGAAACAATCCTCTCCCAGTGGTGCTGTGAGACACAGGGCCGCGGATTAACCTTTCGTGGGGCCCGTGGCATTTTTTCAGTGCGGGGCCCCTCAATCCCGTAAAGCATCAAAGCCTTTACTCACCGGCCACAGAATTTTTGGGGCTCGGGTAAAATTCTCGTTAGGGGAGTAAAATCCGCAAAAAAATAGCAATTTGTGCTAGTGTAGCGAGATAATGCATGACCAGAACATTGGTGTAGAAAATACTATAGCTATAGCAGTTTTAGGGGGGTTTGGGGGCATCCTCCCCCAAGAAAATTTTGAGTTTTAGAGTGCAGCAAATGCGATTTTCTGCGTTTTGGGGGTGAGATTTCCGCAAAATTGAGTATAATATTGCCATTACCTAAACTATAAACAACCTAAGACGTTTTCTGAAAGGACTATATATTCCAACAACATGCAGTTTAATTTTATTCTTGTAGGTTTTTGGGGACCCTTACAACCCTGGGCTCAGGGCTAATTTCCCCCTTTGACCACCCCTCTAGGTGGCTCTGCCTTTACTTGAAGTTTTAAATTTCTAAATTTTCCCATTACCCTAAAATTTTCTTGGGAAAATCTGGTTGCAGGGGTGCCTAATTGGGCCTGGACTTTCGATTTCTAAGGCTTCGCGTTATTTATTTCGCTCCGATAGCTTAATATAAGCTTTAAAGGCATTTTTATTTATTTATGGGGCCTCGCTTTTTGGAGTCACTTTATTTTATTTTGCGGCCATGAGGCTTTGTGGCCCTTTTTCCGTCTCCCACGCACCGAAAAAAATTGAACTGAGTAAAGCGCGGGGCCCCCAAAACCGCGGGGCCCGTGGCATATGCCGCTTCTGCCATATGGTTAATCCGGCCCTGGTGAGACATACAGAGAATATGTTCAAATCTAGTATGCATATTTATGTCATACTATAATTAAAAAGTTTACAAGAATATAAAAAATAGCTCTCTTTTCTATGTGTACACCACACTGTGATTAAGAAAGTTATAATGCTTACAAAGAAAATGAAGTTGAAGAAGATGACAATAACACGAACTCCTCCGTAACAGCTCTCCCCCATGATCTAAAATAAGAAGAAAATCAGTACAAACATCATTGAAACCAATTATTTAGGTTTCTATCTTTTCACATGGCTGGGTCATGGCTGACTCATTTGACAAAGTTTTCAAATCATGAAGTAAAAAAGTTTTAGAAAGTTGCTTTGATGAGAGGTTTTTTATATTGCTAGTCAGCTTTATGGATATATGTATGGAACTAGCCTGCCAAACATCACTAGAAATTTCATGTTTACACCCACTGTAACAAAATTAAACCAAGCTTAAATGAGGATATAGTAAATACCTTTCAGAAAATGAAACAACAGCAATCAAGACTTCATTGCCAATAAAAAGATACGTAAATGCATCCAAATCATTAACTCTACCTTTTAATAGTTCACTTGCAACTATAAACTGTGCCTTTCATGCATCAGAGGCTTTTTTTCAGAGGCAAATTTTATGTGCATTGTTCCTTCACTGAATGAGCTTTGTATTACCCTAGAGACCTTTATTTCATACAGATATGAACTACCTATACTAATAAAAGATCTAATATGTTACATACTTCTTAGAACCAACTTTCAAAGAAAACAACTTTCAAATTTATTATTAAGAATAAATCTGGCAAATTTACAGGAATTTCCCATTTTGTAGGTAAGTACCATTACCTGACATCTCACATACTCTAAATATCTATCGGGTGCCATATAAACATCTAGCTCAGATATTTGTACTGAAAATCACAGGCTGTTGTATCATGTCAACAGGGTTTAATATCCTTTGTAAATTATGTGTTTCTTCTGGCTTATCAATCCCTAATCAGTACTTCCTGAAGGTATGTTCAGCAGGTTACTTTAGTATAATTATATATCATTAAAATTTAAAATTTGCATGTCAAATTGTACAAAATATAGTATATTCAAACAGTGAATACAACTATATTTCGATTACCAGTGTATGGTGCCATTAAAATGCTGCAATAACTAACAGATAATTTAAATCAAATAGTTAAATTGTGGCCGGCAATGTTTTCTTCGTTTTACATGACATTTTTTCATCCATTTATGGCCTTTGTCAAGTTGTTTATACCGAATACATACAAATTATAAATGTGTACATTTAAAATACACTATCCTTGTGTCATAAAACCACATTATGTCTAGTTTCACAAGCTAAGTTCCTAAACTTTTAGCCGTTTACAAATGTGAAGCTGATTTTTAGCTGCAAAAACATGAAACGAAAGTATGTTTGTACTGTGGCTACCCGCCTACAAAAGCCCATGGCCCCATGAAAATATCAATACGTCCAAAAAAGAAACGACACGCAATTCGCAATTATTTAGCGTTGTAACGTAAATAAATAGTCTCTGTCGATGTTATTTTCAACATCTCATTGATTGATCGTTTTTACTCAGCTATATCAAACAAGAATTTGAAAAAATTTCAGCGACAGATCATACTTATGTTCGGCACACGTCAAACAGTTATATTGTCAAGCTTGGAGGCATATAATTCAACATCAGCTAGATGATTGAATACTTACACACTAGAATGTTCTTACCTGTCAAATATTACAGCAAAATCGTCAAGACCACAAGTGAAAAACACGGTAAATTTTGTACAGTCGAGATTTTACGCGCAGCGTCAAAATTACTAAATATGTTAGGTTTTAGCACAGAATACCTTAGGTATTCTGTGGTTTTAGTATTCTCATTATGGAGGAGGGTAAGTAGGGATAATAGGGTTCTCTAAGGGCCTGTTTACATGCAGCAGGGCTCCGGCCAGGCGAGGTGAAAATTACATATAATGAAAGACTAATCAGGAATGTTAAGTGTTTGACGTGATGCGCTTTTTACCTCGCCTAGCAGGGATAACTTCTCCATGTAAACAGGCCCTAAAGGTCTTTTCACACGATCCAATATTGCTGGATCCAATTCACTTCTGATGGATGTTTTAATTTTTGTAGTCTGTTGCCTTATGATGTTTATGGGCAGCAAATGCACTGAAGTCAATAATGCACTACTGCTTTATCAATAACAGACTATATTCCATAAGTCAGAAGTGAATTGGATCCAACAAAATTGGATCGTGTGACAGACCTTAAGGAAGGGGATAATTAAACCCCATGCAGATGGTGTGAGAGTAAAATGCGGACTGAGACATGCGGAAGGTGGAATGACTAAAAACAATAACTCCTATTGTAGGAGATATTTTAATTTTCATTGAAATCATTGAGATATTTTGAGATCCTTCCAAAAACGATAAAGTACAATATGTAACCAAAAAAACTAGGCAAGGTAAGAATTTGTGTAAGTGAGAAAAGTAAAGTAGAGGTGAAGATTATACCTTCGCCTTGTGCGAGCTTTCTTAGAAAACTTAAAGGTGTTAGGGGTATCTGAGGATACAAAAAGGCAAGGGGATATTAGGAATAAATAAAGTTCTGTCGTTAAAAATTGTCCATAACCTCCCCCCTGAGTGAGCCTTGTATCCCAACAGCACCACATGACCAAACCAAATTAACCGAATCATTGAGGCAACTGACGTCACCAGCCCCTCCCAATAGTCTAAAAATCAAAGCTAGACTCAAAGCTAGACGCTTTTATCAAATTCGTCGTCTCTGCTCTCAATTTATCACAGTCATAAGAAAATTGCTTTTAAGAATTATTTGAGTTTGTGAGGCCAGCCGGCTCAAATCGATGTTTTCAGCAATTGTCCGGTGATTGCCAATTTTCCATGCAAAATCTACACAGGTTTTGTTTTCGTGGGTGGTGAGTTAGGGCTCAAACTTCGAAATTTGATAGCGTTGCTGGAAATACGTTTTTATCATATTTTCGAGTCACAAATGACCTTTTACAGTAAAGACACAGGGAAATGGAGATTTTACTTAATCAAAGGTTTTTTAGTTCCATCATGCATTAGTATGAAATTTTCCTTTCACACAAAATTAAAGACTTTTCCACTGAGGCCAACCAGCCTGGGTATACTTAAATTACATAGAAACATTGCTTTCAATTTTAAAAACATCCTTATTACTTTAGTTTGTTTCTTTCAGTGAGATACCACTCTCGATCTGGTCCGTTTAGATTGCGCGGTATCAGGCTCTGTGCAAACGAAGCCAGATGTATATGACTTAGATCTTTTTAGCAAAATTGAGATTTAGTTAAACAAAGTGTTTAATATGAAGAATATCAATCCAGTTATTGCAAAGTAGAAATGGCGAAACGGTAAGAGCGTGTATTGCTTATTATAGACACATGCAGAGCTTGTGATTGTCATAGATACTGGTATATATAAATACTTTCTAATACCGGCAAAAAAATGACGTTTGAATTTTTTTATTATACAAACAGTTTTGACTCACTTAGCAACTGCAGACCACAAGACCTTGTCATCTTTATTAATAATGTAGTGATGCATACATGTTCCAACCGCAATGGCGTTATTCTCTTCATTGCTTTAAATTATATCACTCTGTATAGAACTGCTATAGGATGGCTTGCGGATTAAAAACCATCAAGTATTTATTATTCGGGTTCAATGCCTTATTTTGGGTGAGTGAAATTTCCTTTAGTAATATACAATAACCTCGAACAACTCTTCGAAATGTAGTTCAGCTTTAAAGTTCTTGCAAATTGCCTATGGAGTGCATAAGACGAGTAAACGAGTAAAATAAATTTGATTAAATAGTTCGAAGATGTTCAGTTGTATGCTATTTACATATTAAAAATAAAAGAATTAATCCTGAGTAAAAGTTAACAAAAGCCTTTTAGGAAGATACAATCCTTCTTCACACACACTGATGATCGATTCATAGTGGATCTTTGTATTACTCACAAAAAACAATGAACGAACTCAGTGCAAAGTACTGTAGCTTACATAAGGAACAAAAAAATGTCATTACTTGCTCATTTCTTAAATTTAGTATATTAACAAAACTCGAGACAAAGGTCTAAAATTTCAATTATCGTTTGCAGGCAAGCGGCGCTGTCATCCTGGCAATGGGAATATGGACCAAGGCTTCACCTGGATCGTACGACGCATTTCTTGGAAACAAAGGATATAAAACTTCTGCGAATGTAATGTTAGCGGCCGGATCAGTGGTGATGGTGGTTGGATTTCTGGGCTGCTGTGGAGCAGTCAGGGAGAGCAAGTGCATGCTGGGATGGGTATGTCAATATTTGTTTATCTACATTTTTTCAGAATATTTTCCACAATGAAGTGATAATAGAGGAATACTGAATAGTTATACCGGGTTTACGACAGCAATCCTTGCGCCAGGGTCAGGGAGCAGCGTGGTTGTCAAAAAACGCTTTCTCAAATATAAAAAGAAATTAAACTCCGTTTGAGCAACAACAGCGACAGTGACACACAGAAAAAAAAGAGTGATACCTTGAAATGTGTGAAAAATTGTTCCTTGTTAAAACATTTTTTTATTCATTTAGTACTTCGCCTTTTTGTTTCTGATATTTGGCGCCGAAATAACCGCTGGCATTTTAGCTTTTGTTTACAAGGATGAAGTAAGTGGTTTATAGCATATTTCTAGAATACAATCATTACTCTGATGTTAATTATTGCAACAGTCACCATTTGGAAAACAAAGAAACATTGTTTTAATTTAATTACCATGCATCAGGGACTGTGATCCAATAAACAAAGGTAAAATTCACTTATAATAAATGAAGGAACTATTAAAATCACTGATAAATAAACACTTGGATGAAACTTCAAGGATCACTGATAAATTTGTAATTTCAGGTGAAGGTCGAAATGAAAAAAGAGATGAACAATCTGATGAACAAGCATTATGGGTTTAATCACGAAACTACCTTTGATATTGATCACTTACAAACTGAAGTAAATTGAATTTATATTTATGTCTAAATTATTCTATATACTATTCTAGATACGTGGAGATAATAATTCCGCCTCCAAAGAGACTTATGAATGCATGCAGTTAACTTTATTCGCAGAAATGCACAGTTGTATACTTGTATACATTAGATATACCTCTTTTCCCTTACTGCACTAATATGAATTATCAATACATATCGGCCATGACTGTTCTTATTATTCCAGTTAAAGTGTTGTGGAGTGCGCAGCTATCGAGACTGGAACAACAGTATTTGGCATGAGGACAATATGAATAAAATGGTACCTCCGAGTTGTTGCAAGTCAGACAGTAACAAACCAACTTGTTATCAAAAATCAACCTTTGATTTGGCCAATATATATACCAATGTATGTACAAAATTACTTTTAGAACAGTTTGAGAAACGTTATTGAAGTATTCTTGCACGCGAAATATTTACGCGTTTCGATAAAGGGGCCTTTATCGAGATAGTATAGCGATGTAAGCAGTGGCGTAGCCAGCCTGACGATTTAGTCATGCTATGTAAATTTTATGTGATTATCATTATTCATTTCTTTAGAAATTCATTGTTTTCACAGTCAATGGACACCAAAATATTAGCATAGCATGACTAAATTGTCAGGCTGGCTACGCCACTGGATGTAAGATTGCTCTCTCGACAAAAGTGCTTAAGTGAGGATCGAAGTGTCGCAACAATTCATCCTTTAAAGTTTATCAATACCTTTGCAGGGCTGTCTTTCAGAGCTCGAAGACTTCGTCCAGAAACATTTAATGGTTATCGGAGCCACTGGTGTTGCTATATCTTGTATCCAGGTTTGATAATTTATAGTTAATAATAGTTCATTTTCAGAGAGAAACAAAAATCAGATTAATAATTGATTTTAGCATGCCATGCACAAATATTCCTAAATAATATCGATTACCACTAAAATAACATAGATCGATATTTCATTGTTATATCTTGCAACCTAACGGCTTCATTTCTTTCTTTTAGTTACTTGGAATGATGTTCTCTTGTGCCTTGTTTTGTTCTAATGATATTTAGATGATTCTGCACGAAGATAATTGAAGTATTGAAGATTTCTGCTTTATTCAAATCAAATTGTTCCAATGTAATAGTAACATCTGTGGAAATTTTCTATATATTTAATATACAATTTCACGTTTTCGCGACTTTCCCAGATTATACAGGGTGTATCAAAAAAAACGCAACCACTTAATATTCTAAAATTCATATTGTTCATAAGCTCAATAGATTTTATGCCCCTGGGATTTTAAAATGGCTTCTAATCGTACAGTTCAACTGCTAATGGTCAAATCAGCTAAACTAATAATGGTGCAGCTAACAACTGAACAACGAGTTTTTATTGCCGTGCATGATAACTTGAATGCTAACTGTCTACCTTGTAAAATAAATTGTAAATAAAATTTTACTCGTTAAATACTTTCAATTCAGCTCGTTGGTTTACGCACCCGACTTTGTTTACCGACGATTGTGCCGCTAGAATATGATTACAAGCTTTCTCGCATTCCAGGGGCCAAACGTCTTTTGTGTTGTAGAACAAAGAGGATATTCATGAATATTAAGTGGTTGCGTTTTTTTTGATACACCCTGTATTGCAAAACATTAGATATGCGGTAGATTCAGACATTTGACTAATTTGTTTTATTGAATAAAGTTTTAATCGTCGAAGTATTAAGCACAAAATAATCGCTTCGGAAGGGGGAAATCACTGAACGACTTATAAACGTTTTCCAACTAGCTTAGTTTCAATTTAATTGCATGCAAAGGTTCTATTTTGAAATTTATGATGTGATGACAACCGTCTGAAAGCTGCATTGCAAAATTTGATCTTCAAAAAACATCTCTGCATGATGTTGAGACTACATAATTCTGAAGGCATTAATTTCAACTGCATGACGGAATGATTCAACATTGGACGATTGCTTCCTTACGACATTAGATAAGAAAGAAAAGTCCATTGTCCTGAACATTTAGGTATACATAAGCAAAATCATTTATACATGCATATGAGGAAACATTTTGCTAAACGTTTGCAAATCCAGTAGACGTTTGCCAGCTACAGTATCTTTTATTTATTTGAAAAGAACGAATGGGTAAAATAAGAATACATTTTTGTCAGTTTAACTGCACTGAATTGCTCATAATTAAATAAACTTCTTAATTATTGCATTCCTTAAATTGTAACCGACCACTGGCTCTGCTGATGCAGGTAAAATTGTATACGAGGCTGAAATATTGCAACGAGTCATGCATGTCATATAAAATTATACAGTAAAGTAAAACGTACTGTACATTCTCTATGCTATTTTCAATATAAAATAAATTTGACGACTGAAGAGCTTAAAAGAGAGAGGTTCAGTTAAAAAAGTTCATATATAATTGAAAATTAGTTAAGAAAGAAAGAAAGTTAGAATGTGGAGCTAAGACGTCTCATGTGATGTTCGCGTTAAGCCTGTCAGATCACACACATTACGCATAGGTTATGGTAGACGTCGCATTTCGGTCGCGTCGAATGCAAACAATACTGTAGATGATGAGATAAACCTAGGCCTCTCATTAAGCCTCATTACCAAAATGCCGACGTTTAACCTAAGCAATAAGCATTAGAGTTGAATTATCGTAAAAGATAACACACAAGTGTAGTTTACGGGTACGTAAAAATTGCATGTGCATATGCATAAAAAGTGAAGGTAAAAGCGATACGTAATGGCTTACCTCGAGTAAGATCTGAATGCTGAAAGCGTGCTTAGCACATCAGACGACAGTGTTGCATTGGTTTTTGAAATCCATGTACGGTGTGTGGTCTGCCAGCTTGCGAAAAAAAGACTGAACGGCTGTATTACGGCCAGTTAGAGGCCAAAACCGAAGCTAATTGGTTTTGCAGCTTCTTCCTCAACAACACGAGCGATGCAATTTGTGATGTGATGTGAAGCCGGGGATGTCAGTTTTGCCATTTTGCAAGGACATCATATGAAATATAGGCTTGTAGCGCGTCACGCTTGGTCAGATTCAGCTAAACGCTGTACTGGCATACACGATAGATTTTTGGACGGCAACAAACTTTATATTTTGACGATGACCAACAGCCAAAATTCAGGACCAATTTTCATGGTTCGCTTATTTTACGGGTGTAAGAGGCGACGTACCGTAATTCTCGGGGCGATAATATTGAGCTATAGTTTCTGCTTTGATTTAGCATCTGGCAGAGTAGCAGACGAGCTTCCGTCTACTATAGAAACTATAGCTGAGCTGATATATTGGATTGGTTGTTTTTCCTGACTTGGATACTCAACTATAGCTAGTCTCCCAATTCGCCATCTTTCTTGTCGACTTGAGGCTGATTTCTATCCGAATTTAACAATACCTGTATTGTGCAGCATCAATACGTGGCTTTTTGCGTTCCTATGTGATGACAGAATTAACCGCCCAAGAATCTCGTTTGGCAGCATATGTACGTATAGTTGCTTGAATATTACATTATAAGGATGGTTGCCCGAGAAGTCGAGACATTATTGTTGAGAGAAGTCAGAACTGTTGTATGTCATCAAAGACGACATCATCAGTCTTGTCCCATGTAGTGTCTGTGCTGGCCTCAGCCATCATTGCAGCAGAGAATTTCACATGCAGGCGTGTGACGTGTGACCTGGAAAACGTTTCGGCCTGGTTTCGGTTACAAGTGATCTGCACGTGAAGTGGAAACATCGCAAAGTTTCCGGCAAAAGAGAATTATCGCTGCACTTGGAATTCTGTCGCCGTTAAATCTTATAACATTGGTTGATAAAAGTCAACATATTGAGAAATACAAATTCTGAAATTCATTAAAAGTTAGATAAACGCAATATGATGCCAGCGCTCATTCTAAAATATTCAGGGGATTTACTCCCCCCCCTGAGTTTTATGCACCCCAACTGAGGATATTTTTAAGTAATGCAAAAACTCAGAAACTCCAGGGATGCAAATGCTGTTTTCCATACACATTTCGATGCAAATGCTTATGCTGACTGTGTTCGGAGAACATTCATTGCATTACATATTGTTTTTTATTAAAACTGAAAAGACAAACGGGCATGATTTGTTAGTGCCTTCTCTCAGATGATTTAAGCAACTGAAGCTTGTACTTTTTATATAAGGGTCGAATGAAATATTATCAAAAGATTTTCAATTACTGAAGGGAGGAGGCTTACCATTATTGAGAATGATAGTTTGAAATATCTACATATCCTTCATAAGACCGACGCCTCCCCCCCCGAAACACTTGAATTGTCATGACGACTACAGCGATAATTTTCCCGACAACATTGTAACAGGGGGGGGGGGATACGACTGTACATGCAAAAAAATTGATAGATCTAAAGTTCGGCCATTATAAATAGCGTCCGCGTGTTTTTGGCCAGGATTGTAGTTATACGCCATTGCTTCTAGTGTTCCAATGGAAACCGGAAAACGACACAAGGACCTTGGTTAAGAATTTATTCTATATGGAACTGAAAAACTGATTACTATAAAACCTTAAATTACAAATATCAGATTACCTCTAGCAATACGTTAAAGCTTAAAAAACAACAGGTTATGATATATGAGCGTGTTGTTTGTACAAAGTATATGTTGCTTGTGTAACAAAGTATTTCTTAGTGATTAACTAATGTCTGTATAGAACTATGTCAAAACAAAACTATGTAAAAACTTATGACTAGATATGACTAGGCCATATCTCCTCCACTCTTGATTTGGCAGATCATCCATAATGACATTACCATGCCAAGGATCTAAAAAGACAAATGTTCAATGAACAAATTCATTTCCGTTTGCATACCGACGGTCTTATCACGGTGAATTATTTAAAGATGTATACAAACCTGGATAACAGCAAAGGCAATACCAACACCAATCACAATAGTGAGATTGTCTTCCAGGTCTGTCTTGATTTTGTCATAACAACCCTAAAAATTTGACAAAATTGAAATACTGGTTTGCGAAAACTAGACTTCGGCATTGAAAAAAGCAAGATTGCAAGTTTTTTGCTATAAATTAATTATACCGGCTAGACTTTCTAATAATTTGTCAGAAAATGCCGGTAGGATACGTACGTCGTTTTTGTAGGACTCATTTGTACATGGAGCCTTATAACTCCCGGTGTAGTCGCTTCCACCGTCAATTCCGCAACAATCATACTAAAAAACAAGTAAAAATATCAGTTTACTTGTTAGACTGGAAACACTTGCCAATAGGTGCATGTAATCCCTTCAAATTCTCTCCAGGCAAAATTTGAAGCGGAAGATCTTTAACAAATGCTGAAACTCTACAATATGTAACTGCATGATTCAAGTAATAATATAATGATTAAATTTATAGTATTATCAAGTGTGTTTAATTCACCCGGGAAAATGCGTGCAAATAACAATAGTCAAACTTGTGCATTTTTAAAACACGTTACGAAGCTGTTAAATTTATTTGCGCAAGCGCAATGTTGTTTTTGTAAATAAGAGGGAAAGTACAAGAGACACTATCTTGATGACGGTATGATAAATCGTCCAATCATCGACTATAATATTATATAATGTAGCCATTAGCTACAAGTATTTTCATTGGTCAATATAAAGCAGGAACATAGTTCTGTAAAAACCCGGACATGCAGCGGGTTCAGCATACAGATGATTCAATTAACTTCTTTACTGCATGCTTGAAAATAATTAAGTTATCTGCACGCGTAAAAATCCTCATGTTGATGCAAGTTGTTAAAAACAGGAGAAAACAATGTTGTGTTGCACCCTGCATGTGAACAGTATTGTTAACAATGTTGTTGAAGCTTGTTGAATCATCAATGTTGTCAGCCACAACTTGTTACAACAACATTGCATCGTGATTGCAACAACATTGATGATTCAACAAGCTTCAACAACATTGTTAACAATACTCTTCCCAGGGTGCAGCACAGCACTGTTCACCTCTGATGCGACAACCTGATCAATTTTTGGCCATGTAGGCTGAACCCGCTGTCCTTTTTAACAGCGGCTGTGCGCGAAAAATGTAATTCTAGGATGAAAGACCATCTGCTTGAAGTACTAAAATGCATTTTATTCCTTTAATCTGGAGTTTATCGTCACAATTTTCATAACTGGTTCCTAAAACTAAAGAAATGTGCCCCGAAATTATATGCATGTGCGCGCGTTTTAACAATTTCAAATTTTCTAACCTTGTCCTCGAACTCACTCCACTTCTTCCTAAGATCTTTATCACCCTGGACGTTTTTAAACGTTCCGTTCAAACAACTCTTTAGCTCATCCTCGACCTGAAAAATTATCAATAATATCCATCTATTTTCAATAAAAATCTGATAAATTTAGCCATATAGCATCAATTAGTTTTTGCTATGGCAAAGAATTCCGACCAACCAGCCTTAAGATGTGGCTATCATGTCTCTGCAATAATATCTGCGATTATCGTTAGTGCCTTATCAAACGACGCTTACCTTATTTTTCTCAACCGCAGCATAAATACCAGCAGCAAGTTCCATGAGGAAAATTATCAAAAGGAACACGAAAAACTATTTGAAAAGAAAATAGCTATATACTTCCTCACATATTGTTTTAGGTTATTTATACAAATTTTCATATTTATAATTCTTATATATTACAGTGAAAAACAAAATGATTTTGGTGACAAAGTAATGACGATCCTAGTTCCTCATGCATAACAGAAGAGTTACTTGGGTCAGAGAAAACATTTATATAATTCTTCCAGCCTGCGCAACAATCAACTTGCACTAGCACTTTTATTTCATAAAATAGACGGCAAAAGGATTGTTCACCAGATTGCTCATCATCTCTTTCCGAGTACTCTGACCCTAGGTAGCCCAAAGGTATTTGTGTTTTAATCTAAAGCGTCCAATCCAGTTTAATATCGCGGTCTGTGACGTAAACACCAATTGCTATATTTGTATAATATAGCAATTGGTGTTTATATTACAGACCGCGATGTTAAACTGGATGGACGCTTTAGATTAAAACACAAATACCTTTGGGCTACCTAGGGTCTGACAATTAGAATCAATGCATGCAGTTTCATTCATCTGAAGCTATTTTTTTCTGCGCTTTAGACTAATTTCTTATCTTAGCGATAAAAAGGAAATTTTCTGAAAGAGCTTACTAAAATTAGTAAAAGTGCCAGGTTTGGCTGCGAATTGTTGTAAATTTGCATTTGCATTAATTCAAGTACGCTCTTTCTAGCTGTGCATGGTGATTTATTTTCTTATTATTACTTCGATCAAGAATAAATCTAAAGCGCAAGTCGTCCATTGGATAGATATTTTAAATTTGCCTCAAAATATAAAAAATTTCATCGTCTTTTAACGTTATTACGCCGGGCATAATGTGGGCATTCAGAAGCATGTTAAAACAGCATAAAAACCTACAATTCCTAGTAAGCAAGTGCTTTGTTTCCAAGCTCCGTAGCAACCAAAGAATGCAATCACAAGGATTATCACACCAGCAGCGAGTAGGAGATTGGCTGCAGTTGCCCAGGAATAGTCATCACAAAGATCCAGGTAGTCATCTTTCTCTACCTTTAGATATGCACCAGCTCCCACGAGACCTGCACCAGTAATCTATATATTTTACGAAAAACAGGAGATAAAAAAACACCGCGATAAACTATAGCAATCCCAGTATAAGGTAGTTATCCCTAGGGCCTAGGCACATGCAAAATATGTATAGTAGAAAATAGTAATTATCGTCGATCGTTCGATGTGCAGGTTTTAATGCAGAGTAAATTAAAGCACTTCCATACAGTCCTATATAGCTACTTACAAAAAAGATAACATTAAAGAAGAACACCAAGTATCTTATGCACGTATAACCACACATCTTTTCAAATACACCTGTGAAGAAGAACAGAAAAAACAGGCTTGTGTTAAATAGCTTTTCTATCTTTTATATTTCGTTACACTCGGATAGCTTTGCATGAGAAAGTTGTCGGCGCAGAATTGAGAAAACTGTCCTAAAATTTATGTTTATTGTCCAGAAATCACAAACATGATATATTCCAGTTTCATCAAGTTAAATCATGCACTGTACCGCAAGCGATGAGGCAAATACAACTACGAAAGTCATAATATAAAAATAACTATAGATGAAACCATCAAGTGATCCCATATAAAGAAATACCAAATAGTTTCCGTGCAGGATTGCGTGATCCTCAAACAAGAAAGTTTGCTAAATTTTGAAAAGGGAAAAATACACGAGCCTGGTCGAGCAATATGACAAGTGCATGTATGGATCATGCCATTTGCACACGAAAAAAAAAGTTTCATGTGGGGGCAGGGTTCACGTGTTCAAACAAGGAAACCGGACGAATTGAAGCACGGTCCTTATTCTTCGCGCAGGATTGTAAGTTCCTATTGTGTACAGGAAGTCTGGGGTATTGAGATGGGGCTTAGTTGGGAGGGGGCCTTAATTGAGATGGGCGGGGGACTTATTTAGTTATCCATAAAATCTCAGATAATGTTTTGCAAAATGTAAGTTATTACGTTCATAGTACTAGAAATACATGCATGCAGCAACCCCTCGCTATTTCAAACAAAGTACACAATTTCCTGAGTTAACCTGACCTAAACTTATATTATGAAATGCACAAAACTCAAATCAGTCTTATTATATTTTATCGAGTATATTATAGCTAATGTTTCCATCTTTCAATACAAAAATAATCACAAAGCTAGTGTAAACATTGCCCATTCAATTTTGCTGCATTATACTATGCCAGCAATTAAGTAACGGTTTAAAATCGAAGTTTCAAACGATTAAAACAGTACAAAATCTTCACAGACAAAGAAAAAACTTCAAATGTTATTTTATTCTGTAATTGCAGTCGACCGGCGGCTAAAAGTTTTATACTTTATAAATATAGTGTGTATTTTTGATACCAAAATTCAAATTACACTTTCAAAAACACTTTTTAAAGTTAAAGCAAAGGTGTAATAGCCTTTCACAGGTTTATGCGTTTGCATAAAAAGCTGAAAATTTAACAAATAAACGGCATACAAAGCTAAAAAGTATACAAATACGGCTCATTCTTATCGCGAAACAAATACAAAATAAACAAAGTAAACACGTACCCTTTGTCTTCGAAAACATTTATAAGTTTGCAGATTATGAATTATTCCTCTTACACGGCTTTGTCTTGACCGTATCCACGTTCATCTTTGCTAACTGTCATGCTTCATATATCTTGTTTCTTCTCGTTTTACTTTCTTTGCACAAAGTTTATGAAACGCTTTTACAAAAATTTTTACGAAATGACAGTTAATATAAATTGCTGACGTTCTCATTGAAATACAAACTTTCTGTCTTAGCCAATCAGAACGTTCGTTGATTACCAGACGTTACTCGCGCATGCGCATAACTTACAAAACCACCCAACGTCGACCGTCCATGACAAAGAATTTGGACAACTTTGGATTCGCCTATGTTCTACCGGGTTCCGGGTGTAATTCCTAATCTCCGAGCGGAATTAGTACCCTCGCAGGCGCTCCGCGCCCGCTCGGGGATTATACAAAAACAATATGCACATCAACATAACAGCTTTTTTCAAATGTTCAGCAATTTCAACAGTTTGAATAGTTTACGGACCAAACACAAAAATTAAATCAAATAAAGAGACTTGTTTTGAGTATACGAGGGGGAGAGGGATTAATAGAGACGGGGGCCTAAAAATGTTCTCTTCCAAAAGCGGTGTTAATTATTAGAGGGGGCTTATTTGAGAGAGGGGGCTTATTTGAGAGAGGGGCTAAATAGAGACAATAGGGTAAACATAAATATACAAATATATACCACCATTTAAGTGAAATTGTATGGATGAGATACTGAGTGAAATATATGGATGAGATACAATTAATCCAACATGGCCGTCACATCTAAGATCTAATTAAATCATAAATGACAAAAACTCTGCTTGCGACGCCGGCATTACGAACGTGAAACTGAATTTGCTTATTTTGCGCTCAAAATTGATATTGCACACAATATTTGACTTGTTGTATGAACTTTCCTTTCTTCAGAGCAGATCGCCGGAGAATGGGCCTCAAATAAATGCCACTTCGGCACTTGTCAACTAAACCAAGTCATTATGTAAGAAAACTGAGCACTTCGTCATTCAACAAGGCACAAAGTTGGCAATTTTGAATTCTCCATATAAATTCATTGCATGCTTGAACGGCTGAATGCATGCATTTTAAATTATAGACCTCGTTTATACTCATAGTGATTTCACAATCACAGATTTCATATAATTTACATTGATTAAACTATGGGCTGGACTGGACTTGTAAAACCACAGGTAAAACATGGACTTGTAAAACCACACTGTGGTAAAACATGGACACAAATCTTAGAATTTGTTGGTTTGAGCTCATTAAACACAACATGCACACAACAACACAAAGGGTCTCATATTTACCGTATATTCGACTGACGCAGTTACGCTCGACAGATTTTGACTTTTGAAAGCGGTTTTGCTTTGACGCCGGTTTTAATTGTGGTTTGTGATTCAGGGCCGTAGCTGACTTGTTTACGAACAGCGGGACAATCGCTTTCAAAAGAAAGCAGTGAGGCGAATATATGAATACACGAAATACCCTGCCACAAATTAGGCTCTTAGTGAAGGCCTTGCTTTTTTTTAAAACAATCATTATAATTGATAGCTTGAAAACGAATATTAGCTGACGTTAGGACTTCTGTAAATAAGTCGTCTTAGTTCTTTCGAAAGTAACACATACTTACAGTCTACTGAGATTAAGAGCACAAAAGTGGAATGCACACTTTCAAAGCTAAAAGCAGACCACTTTTTCCTTCCTTTTTCTACTCAAAATCATTTTTTTAGGCATTACTGGCATAGTATTGAGCATTCTGCATATATGATCCATGGTTGTTGAATACATTGCAATCATTGTTCTTTATAAAAACAGTTGTATATATTGGAAGTTGTTAAAATGGTAGCTTGGGAAGGCATGACCTAGGGTACCTGGGTGCACTATAAATTGAATACCATAACGCTCTCAATCATTTTAACTTGGCTGTTCATTCCCGGTTGGTTCTAGTTGGATTATTAAATTTATCTAGAGCCAACCAATGAGCAACTTTGTTTGTGAACAAGTTCAAATTTTTTGTGGTTACATTTGCAGTTGATTGTAAACTTTGAAACAAATATTAGTATCCTGTTTTGCTTAGGGGTGTTTTTTTACCAAGTGGAAAGGAAAGAATTTCACCTTGTAAATCAGTATTTAAAATACTTATACCTGGGATTAATGATCCAAATGCATCCTAAATATGTTTTTCGATCTTATAGAAATCTTAGAGACATAGTATAAAGGCATCTTTTTAACAGTGGAGATGCTTTAGTAATTGGTAACCAAGCAGCAAAATTATCTTAATGAAAAGTCTAGAAAGAATAATTAATAAGCAAAGTATCATGCATGACACAAAAAAGTTCCGGAACCTACAAAAGGTTAGGGCTTTAATTTTTTTCTTTTGGTGCCCCTTTTTTCCTAGGTTGAAATACAAAATGTTTTAACTTGATATGTTATTTGTAATATTTAGTAATTCATGATATTAAATCATATATTATTAATGTTGCCTAGACACTGCATAGTTATGAATAGCAAATGAAAGGTGGCTTTATGCTCACACATGTCATGTAATGCATGTATGGAAGTCTGTTGACATTAATTTACAATTTAAGTGTATACGGCTGTTTAGGCTACAATCTAAGGCTTGTCCGCGTATATTATGCCTAGGTTAATTAATAACATTATTACACACATTTCTAAGCGACATATATGGTCCACAACATACTATGGAGAATGTCTGACTAGAATCGAACGATCCAGGTCAATACCTATTATAGACATTACAACAGAATGTGAAAAAACCTGAGTCATGCTCTGTCCATTAAAATATTCACAACGGTTAAACACAACATTTGAACTTACTATACTTTCATTCCCGCGGTTATATTGAATGGCGCGAGCTTTTCGAATTCAGAATTCCTTACATATTTATAATATGCTATGTTGCTATGGAATAAACGAAAATATCACAATATATATCAAAATACTATGGTGATAAGTGAACATAACACCTATTGATTGCAAGATCGGGCAGAGAGAACAGCTCTGCTCTGTCCGCTCATGTCTCGATGTTCTTTTAATTCCGAAAGTAAATGAAAAGTTGTACAATAAAGAACGAAATGAACGTTTGCACGGACATGTAAATGAGTACATAATATAGCAGTAATTTACTCACAGAACGAATACGTTTCGCTATTCTCTTTTATTTTATGAGAAATCAAGCGGCAATTTTTAATTTTTGGATATTGCACAGCAGTCAATAAATTTAATAAATTTGCTACTGACTTGAAACTATGTCGACTTATTTATCAGGTGATTTTCATCTGACTATAAAAACAGGTTATTTCTTCGAGTTTGCTGGTGTTTTGATCAGAACACTGACTTTAGATCTTATCAAAATGTTAATATATAAATGTTTCTGTAATATTATACCGTGCTTGTGCTTGTGCTTCGCTGCAAAGTGTCGCAATTTTGTACACAATAGTTTTCTGAGTAACCGCTTTTTATTGATGTATCTTGTAGAACACTTGAACTTCCCGTTTGAGACGAGTTCAGTCTTCAATTCATGCACAAGCAGCAATTTGCAGGAAAAGATAATTATCTCGTTGCAAATCGAAAGTTAAAATACATGTTTACAATACACGCATTGCCACAATAGTAAAAGTATCGCTTGTATACTACGAGAACAGGAGGAAAAGCTAAGCGAAGGGATAATGTTAAACATATAAAAATCATTTAACTTACGCTAGACGAATTTCTCCTGATCTTTTGTCCACAGTTGCGTATGAATTGTTGACAACGCCTCAGACTTGGGAGTGTTATATATATACGATGAACAGTTGGAAACACAATATCAATTTACGGGGGCGAAAAAATATAAGTAGCAGGGGGGGGAGAAATACTGTGATCTCATTGTAACAAGAACAACCACCGGAATTTCGAATTAGTTTCCCCATGATTCTTGAATTTTTGTCCCTTTGTTGTTTTTTCAAGATATTTTAAAACACTTTTACCGAATAAAGTGAAAATGATGAATATAAATATATTACGTTCGGAATCTTCTATTCAAAATACTTGCTTGATAAAAATTTCGAATCTGCGAGAAGTAAGACACGCCCAAAATTTGGAATTTTTCCCATCAATTATTTTTAGGGGAAAAAACCAAACACTTGTAAGGTACTTTATATTCAAAATTCGGCAGCATTCACTGACTAATATGGTAAAATCTACACTTGCCGAGCGCTGTATATTAGTAACAATGAATTTCAATATAACTACTTTACTGAATGTTTTTGATTTATTTGTGAAACATTCTTGTATGCCAGGAAGGTTATGAAAGCGCTCTAATTTATAAATTTTATATTCAGGTTAGGCAATATTAGGCAATTGACAGGTCATGCACAACAAATTCCGACCGTGTTGAACTGAAACGGCGAGCCGGTCTACTGTTGAACAGTGCTTAGCCTTAGATTACCTTCGGTTGAAAGAAATGCATCATGCCATTAGACTCCGAGAGGACATTATCGTGAGAAAGTTACAAACAGATTATATTCACTTCACTAGTTCAAAATTTAGAAACTGAAACACAGAACAGAAACTTTAGACGAAGGCAATGAATTGGCAACTGCATGCGGATGTAGACGCAGAAACAACGAGCCTATTGCCCCGTCCACACGTATCCGGATATTTTTAAGAACGGAGGTTTTTTTATCCGTTTTGGCCTTGCGTCCGGAGTTTCGATGACGTTTATAATCGGATCCAGTCTATAACGGGCTATGCCATTAACGGCAGGTGTTTCGCGTCTCTTCGAGATGATGAACTAAATTGCTTGGCTGTTTTACTTTGGTCTATTTCATAATTTTAAGTCTAATAGCATGCATTTAGCTTCATGTTACTATATGCTAAACCTGCATGAGAGTTTTAAAAAAGCGAATGAATAATATGATGTGGATGCTTCCCATCTCACCAACTAGACCACGAAGATTTGGTCATTGTCATTTATAGTCATTTTAATTTAAGAAAGAGCGAGCATAAAGCGAACCCAAAGCAAATACGTGGAATTGTTTTTAAATTCCGCCAAATTAACATAGTTGTTATGTAGGCGGCATAAATTAGTGGCATTCAAGCCCTGCGATCATTTTGGAGGCGCTCGTATTACTTGGAAATGCGCATGCTCTATGCATGTAACATTCCTAACTTTTTAGTATTTTCAATCTCCTTAGCATTTTAAGTATTTTTTCAATTCAAACTATTTGAATAATTTTAGTAAATATAACGAAATCCTACATGCACCACAAATTTTCTTGCCACGAAAGAACCCTCAAGAGAATTTTCATATACACGTTTATACAAATGCGAAATCTTGCATAATTATATATATCAAACAATATTGTACATGATCAAGTGAGAAATGCAGTTAAATTCAAATATTATACACACCGTGAGTAAACAGACCTATTGACCAGCGGGACGCAATGGCGCGAATTAAATCAATCAAAAGCCGACTGAGCTGAGCTCAATACTGGGTCGACATCGCTGTGAATTCATCAAGACGACCAGATCCCAGCCCATGTGTGCAAATTTCGTATCTGATTTGCCATCTGCACATAATGTATATCACTGCAATAGTAAAACCACACACTTCGGTTTATAAAATATTCATAACAAAATACCTTTCAATCGCCGCTTATATTAACTAATAACTATAACTGAAATATTTGCATGAGGTCATTTTTACCAAATTAAACTTATTAAAATTATACTTTGAAAAGAATACCAATAATATACACATAATACCAATAAGAAACACTTATTTTGGCATTAAAGAAACTTTTGAAAGCCTGTTCGAAAATATAAATATTTACAATCAATAAATTCGATGTAAACCAAATATTGGACAAAACCCAAAGACAGCTACAAAACCTAAACACTATAAAATATAAAAGATTTTTAACGTGTAAACTAAAAGTATAACTGACAGAACGATGATGAAATCACCATGTTTCTTTCATGGAAGTTTTGATTCATTTGCACCGCGGAATGGGGCCCAACAGAATTATTTCTGTTTCATGTATGAACGATCAAAAATGGCAGGTTTCAAGCGGTACCTTGTGAACAATTACGTCATTTGAGACAAATGATAAGTCAGATGTTCTCTACGACCGTTACGACTCAGGGCTGCTTTCCACTGGCGCGATTTTCTTACGCACGGAAATTTTCAAGGGCTTCAAAATTTTTATTATTTAAAACATATGGACTAAGATATGCATAAGTTTTTTCGATTTGTTCGGCCAGATTTTTCAAAGATGACATATATAAGAATTTAGACACAGACCGACTACCCCCTAATTACTTTTTGGCCCCCTAATTGAGGCTTCGAGCAGGCTATGCGGGTACGTGCGTATGAGAAAGCGTGAAAGTGGAAAGCAGGCCTTGCCCGAATTTAGGAACAGCCTGCCATGCAGGCTAGCCTTACCAAGGTAGCGTTCAGTGGTACTTTTAATTCCGAAAAAATTACTTTTTACTTGAATTCTCCGTGCTTGACTTGGAACTAAAGTACTCTCTTAGCGGAGCTAAAAGATGTCTTATCACTGGAACACTCCACGATTTTCCTAAAAGTTTCTGTCGCTGATTCTTTCCCATATTACCAACATCTGTATAATGAGCAGGGAAACCAAACAATCTGTTGAGAAATTGAGATTGCTTCATTGATATAGCCACAGGTGAGTAGTCACAACAGCTAGTGCGTATGTGTGAATAATTATAATACTGCGGTCAAAGGACAATCAGGAGCGTTAGTGCATGTTCTCACAAGACCAAGAGCTCCACTAGTCAGAATAAACATAAATTAATTATAGTAGTATCGTGACTTGTACCTTTCCATTTCAGTACACCATAATAAATCCTCAGTGACGTCACTATCGAATACTTCCACAGGTAAAATACCTTCTTTAGTTTGTTTGATGGAGTTCGCTTTTGTTGTCACTGTCTGGATTTTCGTAAACTAATATAAAGTTTAAATTTATTTACTTATTAAACGTAATAACTTCACTGGAACTACGCTATTTTACGACTAGAATATAATTCGAAAAAACTATATTTGCATAATTTACGATTTATGTATACATACATATATACATATAGTGTATTTATATGGTCGCGAATATCAATTTTAAAAGTTCATTACTGCTATTTTTCGTGTCCATCCAAAGGGCAAATACTTACACGAGCTTTGCGTCCACAATGTGGCTCCAAACAAGACTGTAATGATAGTTTATCACCAGCCACAGGAATGGTTGGTCTAAAAGTTACAGAAATAATTCGGTTTTATAATAAACATACTTGCAGGGGGGTGAGTCCGGGATTTACGCACCGAGAGAGGCTGGAAGTTTCCCGAACTTATACCGAGCGTACCGAGGTGAGCTCGGGAAGCTTCCAGTATTCTGACAATGGAACTGACCTGTTCATTCCGGGAAGATTTCCCCAGAAATATCGGGCTCTACGGGCTGGTGAGATGTCTTTTGCATCAACGACCACAGGGTTACACTGAACACAAAAAATCAAAGTTAAAATACACTTAAGGTGGCTCGATACAGTTTCTCGAATTTTTTTTTGGCTCATTTTAAACAGGGATATTATAAAGCACCTAAATATTTCACTATAAGGCTAAAAGTTAATATACTTTGCAGGAAACATATATAGAACGGAAAAATTCTCAGAACCTTTGCCGGGCACCCGTTACCATGGAAACAGAGACGTTTCAAAATGGCCGCCAAACAAGGTTTTATCGTATTTATATCACAAACGAGCTCGGTGACCCCCATTTTTTTTTCATTAAACGTTTACGCTAAAGATTATTAGTCTATGAAAAAGTTTTAAAAAAATTCTAACATGGGGGAATTTTTTTATTAACCAAAAATAACGTTTTTGTATATAGAAAAAACTCCCCATGTTAGAATTTTTTTAAAACTTTTTTATAAATAAAGCATTTATGGCGTAAACGTTTAATGAAAAAAAAATTGGGGGTCACCGAACTCGTTTGTGATATAAACACGATTAAACCATGTTTGGTGGCTATTTTGAAACGTCTTTGTTGCCATGGTAACGGGTGCCAGGCAAAAGTTCTGAGAATATTTCCGCTCTAGATATGTTTCCTGCAAAGTATATTAACTTTTAGCCTTATAGTGAAATATTTAGGGGCTTAATATCCTTGTTTAAAAAGTGCATCTAAAAATTTCGAAAAATTGTATCGAGCCACCTTAAACGTAATTTTTATAACTAAAAATACAATATGCAGTCTCTAATTAGTCTGAAACAATTGTTTTACACGAGAAAAAATAACACAAGAACAATTCGTTTCGGAATACGAGAAAGCAGTGGAGTACCAAAATATAAGGCGTAGAGAGAAATAAACACCTTATTTAAGCAACATCGTTGTTATATTGACAAGTATAGACGTAAGTTGATTATAACAGTCACCTTACGTATACGTATTCTCAGAGGATTGAACTCTATTATATTAATGATGAATCTTAAAAGTATTTGACCACTTCGCGTACCTGAAGAAATCTTGAAATAGTTCTTTTGTCGACAGCGCGCATGCTCACAACATTTTCAAACAACCAGAAGAAAGGTCTAGAGTCACCAGGATGGGGCTTTGCATACATCAACAGACGAAAGAATTCAAAAAACAAGCGACCACTTCCTTCTGCCGGGAATTAAAATATAAATCATGGTAATTAATACGGTCGGTCGACTTTTTTGCATGGAAGTAAGTTTTGAAAGGATAACTGGGACTTACCAAAAATTCCTTGACGGGCTGGGTTTGCAATAGATAGATCATTACATGGACTTGCTCCTATGACTAAATCAAATGGGCCCCACATTTCGATCTGAAACAAAAATAATAATAAACAAAATAAACAAAATATCCTGATGTGACAAAATGTTGCAGCATTTTTGAAAAGATGCTTCAATTTCATAAAAAAAAACCATGGCACTTCTAGGCATTGCAAATATTTTTCGTGCATGTCCAAAGTGGTGGCCACGCAGCAATAAAAGTGAATTGATGGAATTGCACAGGATTTCTTTCTTTTTTAACAGCACCTGATCTGCAGTGATTAGCTCAACATCACCAATAAACTTTACAATATCATCTTCACCATGTTGAACTTTCACAACCTGCAAGACAAAATCAATCAACTATCATTAATTATCGACAGACTCTTTCAACTTTTAAATGGCATCACTTCATAGAATGATAGGAAAACTGCATGGCACGACTATGAAACCAACGTATACATAATTGCACTAAGAAAAAGCTGATGTATACGATTTTTGTCCTTCTTGTATTGAAGCCAGTGGCGTAATGGACATAAGGTAGGGTTAGGACAAGAACTAAGGGGCCCCGACCGTTGGGGGCCCCTGAGGTCCCCCATTGATTGCCGTCTATCGCCACGATTCTTAAAAAAAACGGCGTGTCTGTGTATCGCATAAAAAAGTCAGGTTAAAACTGAACAAATTGTTATGCCAAAGATAGGCCTAGGGTATGAGGTTGATTACAAAGGAAAATGCAGCAGTAATGATGGTAGATTAAATAATAAAGTATCCATCGACCATGGCTGAATTCTCTATTCTATTATCCATGTTCTATTACTTCTATAACTAATGAAGTAATACACTAATGTAAATTTACAAGCTTCAGCTCTCAAATTATTTTTAAAGTGAAAACATGACAAACAGCTATAGGGCCCCCACACCAAATATACCTAAGGGCCTTGAAGCTCTATTAATTTATAACTATTTACAAAATTTAAAAGGCTGACTTACTCGTGTTGCATTCTCGTCAATCTCGGCAGCAAAATACACGTGAACATCTAGTCCCAATTCCTTCAGCGCTAGCAAACCTAGAAATGAGCACGGAATATCAACTAACCTCCACGAAAGTCCGTTAAGCTAAGCAGGAATGAGGTATTTAGCTACACTTGCATGGTGAGTTCAATATAGCCAAGAGTGATTAGCAGTACTTCAATAAAAAATAATATTAAGTGAATTGATCGGATAAAAAATACGACGTAGAAGCACGCCACGCCATTTTTACATTGTCTATACTGCAGACAAAACAACCCATTACTAAAATGAATCAATTGGCATGATATAATCTGGAATGTTGTTACCACCAGTTCATACATTATAAAGTTATGTAGCAATGGCGCTGATAATATCTAGAGCGCGTGATCTGAAATCGCATCCTTCGGGATCTAGATGAATTGAGCTATTGAGCCAACTGATTGGTATTCAATTCTATCCGATTTGGTGCACGTAACATTTTCATAAACTTCAAAACAATCCTTGGAGAAAAAATATGGCGGTACTCACCTGTTGCAATACCATCAAACAATGATAAAACACGAAGTTTTTGACGTTTTTCGGGTGGAATCGGAGCACAGATTCTTGGAATGGACTGAAGAAAAAAAATCACAATTAACAGTTTATCCCTACTGGACCCTGAAACGCAGTTTATCCCCAAAGAAGACAAACTGACGTTTGCACAAATCGTAGTTTATCTTTACTGCACAATAAAATTTACTTCACTCCAATCTACTGCTTACACCCAGCTAATGTAAAATCGTGGTGTCATTAGGCGTCCGGCAACAAAACTGAGTTATCATTCACCATGCAGGAGTAATTTGTTCGCGTTCAATCAACTAAAAGTATAATTATTGTAAATTACTCAGCATTTCTAAGTGCCGAAGCTATAATACGAAATAAAGGAAATGATAATCCAGTAAAATCGCTTCTGTTTGGATGATTTTGGTCCTCAGATCGACTGATGAATATTTTACCGCTAAAACTACTATTATTACTATTATACAGCACACTTCTGCAATGCACTTTATAGAGCGTCCTATTGACTAAATCTTCTCAACTACTCACATATTCTTGTTCTTTATCCGATGCAAAAAGTTCTCTCAGTTGTTCTTGCCAATCCTCTCTCTTCTGAAGAAGTCCTATTTTGTTATCTAAACACATGATACAACACCACTTCTCTGACGACGAAATCTAAACAAAAAGAAACATTTTCGTTCCTAGTTCTACGAATTTGTCATGTTGATCGTAAAAAAGAACTTTGCTTCTTACATCAAATATTTTTCTGATAACGTTTTAATTATTTTACGATGACTGAGGTAGATCAATGAGATCATTACAATTATTTTACGATGACCGAGGCAGATCATTACTTTCATACATTTGTAACGATGCACAGATCATTACTTTTCATTTGGCAATCAACATGCAAACAAACCTTATCTACGGTACCAGCTCCGCACATCAATTCCAAACAAACAGCACAATATGACCTAATATTAGGAAACGTTTGTCATTTTTTCCCCTTTTTTGTCCAAATGGTACTGACAGGAATATAACTACATGTATCGTCGTTTAACGAAAATCTATCTATATATATTGCTTTTAATATTAAAATTATTATGTACATGCATGTATATGAGAAAATAACTTGATTTATAACAGAACATACCGGAAACATCCCGTAGATTCACACATGAACACCTCTTTACCATCTCCACATATTGTACAATACATCTAGACAAGAATAATGTGAACAAGGTTGGGTTTTTATAATCGAGAAATTTATAACATAAAGTACGCTTTCAACGGCTTTACACCAGACTTATACGGGAATGGTTTACTGAGAAATATTACCTGATATCCGTCTTCGTCAAATAAGTAAACACACTCTAGAAAGGTTTCCTATCATTAAACGTACAGTAATAATTAGGTGTGTGTGTGGATAGAATTTAATTTATAATTACACACATGCCGAACGTTATCCATTCATCTGGTTTTCATTACGGGGTATTCTGCCCAAGACCTTAATTGTTCTTTTCTCAGATTTTTCAGACTTCTTCATACCTTGCACTCCTCACAAAGTGAGCCATGAAATAATGGATGACGAACACTGATTTGTATATCTCCACAACCAAGACAAATATCTACAACGCACAATCCAAGTTGATTATAGCAGTCCGTTCTAAGTCACTAAGTTCCGTTTTTCGCATTAACAAAAATATCTGAATTACCTTCAATACTAATTATGCCTGACACAGCTTGGTCAAAAACGGCTGGTTGGAGAGAACAAAAAGTAATTAGTGGTCCATAACAGCCTAGGATGATTCTCAAACTGTTGACAGGATAATTTTCAAATAAAGACAGCATTTAGTAACGACAAATTCTTAGAAAAAAGCTCTCTAGTCTAATAAAAACGAGAGCCTATAATGAGAAAAGTTATCTAATACAAAGAAATTTCTAATAATGATAGTTTTCTAATAGATGAAAGCTCTCTATAATATGTACAGCTTGGTAATACAAACGCCTGAAATACGCCTTTGGTAATACAAATCGCCCCAAAAATTATAATGTATATGTTCGATAAGCTCACTCAAGTGTGGCTCGAGGTCAACCGTCAATAAATAATAATTAGAGCTGAGTTATGATAGTAATCATCTATCCCTAAAATAGAGTATAGCGGAGAATGATATAAAAAAGCAATCTTGATACAACAGTAAAAATTACATTTTACATCTTCTGCCAAAGCAGGGGTTCTAATTGGTTGGCCGAATCTGTCCTTTCCTTCGCGTCGGTTCCAGGCCCCCTCAAGATCCACCATGTTGGGATAGACTGACAACTCTTGCATATCTTTTGAAGAAGGAATTGTTAAAACATTACTTTCATTAAGAAAAATATAGGCTCATATACACCCCCCCATTATCAGCTTTCCATGAAAATGAGGGAAAATTTATTGAAACTGTATTTCTAAGTTTGCTACAGAAATTCTGGGTTGCAACGTAACTTCGCAACTCGTTACGCATGTGTCTCCTATTGTTACTTGACACAATTTTAACAAAATTTTCCTGACTAACGCGGAAAAAATACAAACTTTGCACAGCCTTTTCAAACACTTCAGGTCCGCAAGGTTTAAAATCATCTAGTCCCCAGTCCAATAGTAATTTCGCTCGGTCATCCTTGTTAGGGTTATTACTGTCTTCTGATTTTAACAAATTGTTACTTCGTGAGGCTGCAACCTGTTATTTATATACGGGTAAATGCAGGCATATTAATTCAATGGCTAAATAAACGGTGCATTGGAATCGAAATGTTTTTCTTTTACCTCTAATGCTGACACAACTGCTTTCTTGTAAACTCCTTTCCATTTTGAAGGTGAAAATTTCGATCGAAAGTGACGAAATAATACAATTTCATTCTTGAGAAGCTTTAGAAAGAAAAGAGAGCTATACAGAGAGCCAAGGCGTTTTAGATTTCTTTCATAAAAAACAGAAATGATGAAAATATCTTTACCTTTGAAAATTTATTGTCTCCATACCATTTAACCCAGACATCATTAATTTGATTATCGGTTTGTGTCAGATTTTTCAGTTCAACAACCATGCCAGGCCACCAATCAAAACCCTTCAACTTTCCCCAAATCAACTGTCCTGGTGGAAACTGCGCCTACAATATTTTATGAATAGCAAAGGTGATTCTATCATTGTTTGTAAATATCGCACTTGTCAGTACAAATTACCTTTAAACTCTCTTTAGTGACGCTCAACTCGTTTTTATTACCATTCATTTCTAACTTTTGTCTTTTAGAATCCATCAAAACGGTTGTATTATTTACACTGTCCAGGTTGTCTGTTCAGTTAGTACAAGAAAAATATATCATTCAAATTCAGCACTTTAATTGCAATTTATTGCGAACTTTTGATATTTTGAGGTATTTTTATATTCAAATACAATAAATACATTCAAAATCATTTTATCAACTCAAGAACGATCACATGGGGCAATCTGGACTATTGGTTACAGAATTGAACCGGGTATTTCAGTCTAGAAAATCATCCCTGATCTTAGTTCACGATCTGTCTCTACGTCAACTAAAATTTAGTCCAGAATGATCGCTTCACTCGTTTAGAAGCTATTACCAGTAAAATCAGAGCACTTTTTTGGGAAATCCATAATTGCATTACGACTACATGAAAACTGAGGTAGTTAAGTACGCTTTGGCAAGTTTTCATCTTTGATCTAATGTGCAATCATTTCACCGCGGCAAAACAGTTTCTTTACAAGGCTCTCTTTATTATCACGATACTATTTTACATAGATTAAAAATAAACGCGCACTGCTACGGCGCTCTTTTTTTCTCTATAACACTAATAAAAAATACAACCTTCGCAAGTGCGCTTCAGGATGCTGTTGGTATCATCCAAGGACGACTCTTTTAATGTTGATTGGTCAAATTCTAACTGTCTTCTAACAGAAGTCTCGCAAAAATTCTAGAAGTATGAAATATGTCTCGAGTTCCCCGAAACAAAGCTGTGGGATAATCAAAATCAGAAATTATTCTGATTGGTCGTTCACGCAGTTGGGACGTTGTAATAAAATAAACCGATTTGGATTATCGGCAGAGCCTTTGTTCCCTCTCCAGGGAAAATCGTAGGCTCGGTGAAAGAGATACACTGGACGCGATTTGCCAACGCGACGCGAATATCACGAATTTTTCAGTTTTTAAAATTTGCTAATTTTGACAATGCTGTGATACTCTTGGTATAATTACTGAATGATAGTACATTTAGACTGGTTTGGTATCTCTCATATCTCTCAAAATTTTCTTTGGGATTTGAATCTATTTGCTTTTGAAAATGAAAAATTCGCGTCGCGTTAGCGAATTGGCTCCAGTGTGTGGGCCCCAGACTGCAAAACAGGTTCAACTGTTCAAATCGTCCTAAGTCTCGTCTACAAATGTTCCTTTTGGTTAATTTCGGCTATTTTCACTTTGTTTCAAGCGTTGTTGTACTGAATGTATTACTTTGAAACACCAGCGCAAACTTATCCACAGTTTAATACTTTCTCCGATAATATATTTTAACTCTCATTCCTTAGTTCCAACCCCCTTTATAATTACACTCAGTAAAACAATCGTTTGCATCACGTGAATATTGTGGATAAAAGGCTCGACTTCGTCTTGGTTTTTATTCAGCTATGTTTAACTCCGTCTTTGGGCGAAATATTTGTTGGTGAATGCGTCAAAACTGCAAAATGGAAGACGTATAACTACTGACCTTTGGCCCTGGTTCTGTAACTGGAGTATCCTTATTGTTTAATGTTGGTGTATTATCGTCCGACTGAACAACACGTCTGGTTTGTTTGGATTTTTTTCCCTTTTCGCCAGGTTTATATTCACTGAAATTCGAGGAAATTGTGTCCTGTTGGACTCTTTTATCCTTTCTTAAAGGTAAAAAACAAAAAAGAGTAGAAACTAGAGGTCAGCCTTTCCACTTAGGAGAAAAATTAACTTGTACTTTAACTTAGATACTGTAAGAAGCATTCTTTTCAGGTGTTTGGCTTTTTACTTTTTGACCTCTCCCCCAGTGGCGTAACTAGAACGATAATTGGGGGGGGGGTGGAGACGTGGATAAATATATTCATATACTTTTGTAATTGCAATAGCTTATATTACAATAGAAATGCGAGATGAAATGTTGAAACGATGGGTCTTCAGTCATTGATGCATAAAATCATTTGTCTATCGAAGAAAACTTATATACTTCACAACCTCGTAAACCTTCACAACCTTCACAATCACAGAAAAGACCCTGGGTACGAGGTTGATATACTTCATTGATCACCGACAATAATAGGTCGTAGACTATCGCCGATGAATTACGAGAATCGTGAATTACGAGAAACTTGGCTTTATTGTTAGTTAACGATCAAAATTGCATCTACTACCTCGTCTACCTAAACTTGGTTTAAACAAACCTCTTACGACTATTTTGAGTGAGTTGTTTGCGCATCAAAAAGTTTTCGGACATATTCTATAAAAAATACGAAGATCACTAGTTACTTACAATAAAGCGAAAAGAACATCAAATTTAATTACGGAAGGTACTGTATTGTCGTTTCGCAACTTTTATAAGCTAATATCTTTACCGACGTGGGTAGTACTACAAATCTAATTGTTGCTTCTGTGTTTGAGACCTATGACTATGTATGTCGTTTTTCAAAGAGTTGAGCTATTTACTAAACTCTATGCAGGCGGGTCTTGTCGTGCGAGGGAGAAAAAATTGGAAAACACGTATCACCGTGCATGCAACAATGCTGGATCAGGGTTTAGGCAGAATATTTTTGAATAAAAATGCACCAATGATGTAATGCATAATGTGATTACAAATCAGAGATGTATTAACTATTATTATTCTGCTCTAAATCTTCTTCCAGCCCAGGCCCAGAAAATAACTGATTAAAGTTTTAGAGTTTCAGAAAAGAAATTATAAATTACAAAGCTTACTTTATTTTGTCCATTACTTTGAAGAGTACATTTTCTTTGTGGACAAATCTGTGAATTTTAACAAAACATCATAATCTGACATGGTTATCCAGGGACAGGAATGATAATAGGCGAGTAATACAGCATTGTTATGCTGTAAGCAATACACGACAAACAGTAGGGAACATACAGGATAAGTTGGTGATTAGGGACAGACAATGAAGGGCAAAATAAGGGGGCAAACAAGGGGGTTGACAAGCCAGGTGTGAAAAAACAGGGACACACAGGATAAATGCAGGCTAAAACACAAACAGCAAGGGAAATGCAGGGAAAATACACACACATACACATATAAAAAGTACTAAGAAGAGTGTCAAACAGCAGAATACTAAGAATATTTTTCTTTAGTGATAGTTTGCTAATGGTGGTCTGACAGAAGAGTCTGAATAGTGATTACTTGTCAACAGAATTATCCTGCACAATGAGGGCCTAAACAAATATTCCAACTTACAGAGTATAGTTCTTTCTCAAATTCCGGCCATACATAATGGTCTCCAATCTGTAAAGATACAATTTCTGGATATCAATGGCAAAACTTTCTCAAAAGAGTTAGAAATCAAATTGCATTAAATGATAACAAATGGACTTTACTGATCAAGAAACAAATTTCATTTATCATTATACTCATTTAATTTATCATGTCAACAATCAACATGGTATTAAATTGGGATCTCATTTTTTACTCTTGGGAATTGGACCAACCTTACATTAGAAGTGGGGATAGGCCAAAAAACAAGGATCGTGCAATTTTTAATTTAGTTACTAATTTCTAAGTTATGACAGGAACAACAGCATCACATATGAATTTAGTTATCTAACTGATACAGGTAGTATTCAGGTACACATAATATACTTTTGTGAAGAATGTATAAAAATGATAAAGTATTCATTAAAATGATTATACAATATATCCCTCTCTCCTTTAGACAGGGCTGTACCTGAAGCTTAAATTGGGAGGATGCATTCATATATTTGTCTTTCTTATACCTGACTGAATTCTTTTTTACGTAATTGTTTCTATGGTATTTAAACATGAATACACTGATACACACCCACCCCCAATTAAGCTGTCAAGCTACAGCCCTGCCTTTAGTGCAGTTTAAAAGCATCAGGACAAAAGTCCTGAATGTTGTCCAAACCAAAATGTTATAACCTCTACACAATGACCTCCTCTATACAGGGTCAAGAAATAGTTATAATAATAGGGCCAGGAGCAATTATACAATACCTGGCTGGCCAACTAAAGTCTTAATACACTAAAATTGATCCCTCTGGGCTCTAACAGACCACAGTTGGCCTGGTATTGCGCTGTCCTGCATTTTGAAAGATGAAATTACGCTCAGGCTCTATACAGCAGTTGGGCCCTCGATAAATCAATAATAATCAATTTTTTAATATCCGAAACACGTGCTCTAGGCTCGAGTGAGTCGATCTAGTCTAATCTTGCCGTATGCAAATATTTGTACGAAGCAAACAAAAACGAGCCAAATTAGGTGAAGCAATAGTAAATCTTAATCTTCAATTAATACAATACAATTACAATACAGGGCATTCCCCAAGTCACCTCTTTTGAATCGATATTCTGTTCTAATTTGAATGCCTTTAGTTAACACTGTCTGTACCCGCAGGTGCGTGAAATTGGAAAAAGGGACCTTAGCATAGTATTTAGTATTACGCTTTCAAATTTGAACTAAAGAATTCGAAAAAGGTACAACATGTAATTGTGGAGTCAGTAGAAAGGCTGAGTTTGGAAATTTCTTTATTGGAATGGCTGTTTGCAAATTACGCTGAAGACTTGTAAGTGCGTAAACACAATCTAATCACACTTCTGAAGCCGCTCTTTTGTCTATAATTTTAACAAAAGATAATTTGAAAAGATATATTAAAGCTCACTTGAAATCTTGAGTCTAAATACACAAACAAAGTGACAGCAATTGTATCGAAACAATACGACTTAGTAAATAAGCTTTATAATTGATTCATACCGCACGAGGTGCTTTGACCGCTTTGGGCTTTGATTCTCCATCAGTTGTTGCTCCATCCATAGCGCGATGCACCAGGAACTTTGAGATAAATCGTAATAAAAATAATATACGTGTAAAAAAAATATAGTCAAAATATGCTTCAAATTTTGAAGAAAATTACCAGACAAGCCTTCGCCTTCAACTGCACTGTCTGCTCATTCGAACACTTGGGCAGGTCGAATGTTGAGTGCCAAATGTATCAATCATCGATCATTTGTCATAATTTCTCAAGGCTAAAGTTCAGGGTAAAACCCTGCTGGGGTTTCCCTGAAAAATTCCTGACGCATTTTTTCATGTTTCCACAGTGAGCTCGATGAAAATAATTTTTTTTTGCAAATTGCTACGAAATAATTGTTACGAGGTACTACGAGTTTACCCCGTCAGTTTTTAAGCTTTGCCTTTGGGCTTTGGTTTAGGATTGACTCTTTTGACAATTACGTCTCAACATTACCAGGAAAGGGCGGGGAGCCTCGTTCTCAAGTAATAGCTCCTTTCCACACTTTTTTGTCAAAAGTTCTTTTTCATGCATATGTTGAGGAAGGATATTTTAAAACTTGAAATCCATATCTAAATTTAAAGTTCAAAATTTAAAACGATACTGTTGTGAGGTAAGGGTCTATTGTCGTAGACACAAGCAATTACTAAGCTGAGGATATGAACTAAACAATGAAAGATATTTTGTGAAACTTTGTTAATTCATTTCAATGTGACATTCAAAATAAGTTGCCTATATATCCATATTTTTTATAACATAGCCATTTATATAGGTCTGAAAAATTTTGTCCAAATCCATTAGGAAGGGTATCCATTCTCAAATACCTTTCAGTAATAAACGGCCCTTCTTTTTCTGCAGCAGAAATGGCACAAGTTAGGCGATTAAGATTACCTCAGTTGTCTTCTCAGATATAAAAAATAGAGAAACAATTTAGTCCATTAATTAATACCAAAAAACAAGACGCACAATTCCATCGCAGTTTGATGAAAATACAAACTCATAACTTTAACAATAACAGAAACCAGTTTATTAGTCAGTCTTGATAATGAGCTGAAGACTGTAACAGGTGACAACGCATATAATGCCCTGTTACACGGTGCAATTTTTCTTGCAGCTTGCAATGCAATTCTACTTTTGAGAGATGTATATTTGGGAACAACGAAACTTTTGTGTTTATTACACTTCATGCCCCTTTTCTTCTGCAAGACTCTTCACTAATTTACATCTCTTAGAAGTAGAATTGCATTGCAAGTTGAAAGAAAAATTGTACCGTGTAACATGGCGTATTGTACAACATGACTTTAGCTACGCTGAACAATTCAAATTACAACAACTTTCTCATCACTTTTATCCAGCTTGGCCACGTGAAAATCAGATGACGGTTATTCAAAATCTGATTAAGCCTAGTTTCCATTTAGTCGCAATTTTCGTTAACAGTCGAAGTGGCTGATGTGATATAATTTTTTTATTTGTGTGCAGTGAACAATCACCGATTGTTCAAAGGGAAATTTAAAGTTTTTATCGGTGAAAATGACCTGTGTCTGAAAATTACGACAAAATGGAAACAAGGATTTAGCCATAAGCCAGATTGAGGAGATTTTGTTGCTATCATCTTTTTATGAATTTCTAACATGGACGGCTGCTTCAAGACTGTTTACAATTTCTTGAGGAGTTGAGGAACAATTAAACTCGATGAACAAACCATTAAAAATTTGATTACTATATACATAGATTTGAATTAACCCGAAAACAAACTAACAAGATGTTGAAAAACCAGCCTCAGGTCTGTGTGCTTGAAACAATTTTGTACACAGGCATGCAAAAATGGCAAAATAGGGCGTGAACACTTTCAATGTGATGAATGAACAGTTTGAATGAATTTCTTCAGCCTGTGCAGTTTTTCCTGAGCTTGCTTTGTTGACTCAACTATTTCTGCTTTCTTTTGAATTTGAATCTGAAAAAATATAAAAAAGAGTCGAGTTGAGTTCACTAATGGTTGGTTATATTCTGACCTGTTTGCCCTTGTTGGCTAATGAGAAAGATTGCACTAAGATTATAACATTGGTATTACAATAGAATATCCTTGGTTCCTACTAATATAAGAGAGATCGTCCTAAATTACTGATGGGGGAAATTCATAATCAAGCTTTCGTTCATTGAGGAGATCGCGCCGCGTGTCATGGGATATATTGGGCCAACGTTGATCTTCAGTCCAAAAATTTTGACTCGATATATATTACTTCTTAATACCTACGACAATGCTGAGACCTGCTTCAAACATATTTATGCATGGGAAGCCTCATCTATTGCTTAAAACGCTTTCGTGACATAAGAAATAGTGTGTTCGAATAGGACAAAAGAGGAACACGATGATCGGATGATGACTCACAACGCCTAGAAGAGGCATTATGTAGTTTATTAACAGAAGAAGACTTACCACAATAGCGCTGCTTAGTTCATTTACTTTCCTCTGTAGTTCGAGCTCCTGCAGTTTCAGTTCTTGATTTCGATTCAATAAGTTTTGTTTTTCTTTGTCTTTCTCTGCGAAAAATATTGGAAATTGATTTGGAATTACAGCAAATCGTGAACTAAATATATGGAATGTTGGGTATCATCCCAGATGGCGGGTGCGGGAGCCGTATGCTTTAATTAGAGCCAATGATTCGAAACGTTTATTAGAGTAAAAAATTAATTATTGACCTTTCGTCCAAACTTAAAAATTCTTCCTTCAACGTTCTAATCATTTCTATATTCCTAGCTCTAACCGCGTCATTTCTTGTGAGTGTTTAAACAACCCGCTCTTTCCTTTATACCATAAAAACGGCCAGACCGGTCCTGTAGACTCCTGTTGTATTTTACTACAGAAAAGATTACTGGGCTTTTTTAGTGGTTTAAGAAATCTGCATATCTGCATTCACGTTTATCGATATTTACATCCGGCTAGCATGGGAAATGCAGCTTTATGCACCGCTATAATACTCTATTTTCAATTCAAAATATGACCGCTCTGACTGTCTGATAATTTTGGCCGCTTAAAGGAAAGCGCCCAAATAGTCTCTGTGTTAGATTTGTAATTTTATCCAAAATGTCTGAAAATTTTGAAAAATAAAACATCCATTTTATATTTGGCTTTGATATTTATAATGCGAATACAACGTTGACAATAAATATTTGAACTCACCAGCCCTGTGTTTGAGATAAGAATGAGCAACAGCAAGAGTACCAGGCCATTCCATTGGTTCTTTATTTTTTATATTTTCCTAAATAAAGACATTTGGAAGGAAACGTGTGTTAAAAGGAAACGTGGGTCGATACGGGAACAAGGGACGATATAATAACGCTTAACTATCTAAATAACATTTTTCGCAAAAAAATCTACAATATTTTACTTGACACTTGGGACACATCCACATTCCGGTCGGTATTGAGGTCAGTGGTGGTGTAAGACATTTCAAATGATAGACAAGTATACATGTATCACACATTAATACTTCGCCACTTTGTTGACAAACAGCGCAGTGATCTTCGTGTTCCTCAACCTGTAATGTTCAAAAAATAATTCTACTGAATAGATAATTCAGCATTAAAACTTTTTACGGCTATTCTGTATTATCACTATTATCCTTCCTACAAATCATTACCAAATTTTACTAAATTTTAAGTACTTTTTATAAAGGATATATATTTTCAATTAAACTTTCCCGTGCCAAAATTTTTCTAATGCCGTCGTTTCTGACAGTTGGGCGACCTTCAATAAGGCACCATCAGAAAGTTTGAGATGCACGTCAGAGAATTATTATGAATAACGGCATTCCCAGACACATACCTTGGGCGAGGAATCCGATGAAATATTTCGAGAGATTTGCTCTGCTGAAGGATGATCATCATTTGGTGTTTTAAAACCATTAATAGGAACAAACACTGGCGATGGGGATATTGGTGATTTTAGGCCGTTTTCACCGCTTTTTGATGGACGACCTAAATAATGGACATATAAGAACCATGAACGTGTGTAATTTTGCCAAAGTTCTCACCATATATATGACCGTATACATGATCTCAAACTCAAATTGAAACTGATCCTATATGATTCTTATTCAGTTTATGCCAACTTTAAATCCTAACCTTATCCAGTCACATACTTAACAGTACAGTTTGCACATTATCAGATGAACCATTTGAGTGTACTCTGCACAGGTTGACATACACATGCATGCAAAGATTTATCAGCACTACATGCAGATGTTTAACAGCTAGTATATGTATTACTTGAAATATACATTTGAATCGTGATGTTAAATCATTGTGTGCGAACATAGACTTGGGGTATGTCGATGATAGTGTTAATACATTTGCAGTAAACTTCTATATAATTTCGATCTTCTATTTCCTAGAGTTTCGACATATCATGTGATACACGCAAGTGATTTAGTACCTCTTCCTCGCTTTATTCCAGGGGACGGTCGCTTAGGCTTAAAAAGATAGAAATAGCTTTGTCGTAACGATTTTGAAATATATACCGTTGCCACCAACAAGTTTTTTTTTCAGATGCATTGAAAAAAGATCTTTTTACCTCATCAAAAAACTGAAAAGAACTGTAAGGTGAAAATATTGCGCTAGTTCTTCTCCTTCGTTCGTTTTTCTGCGAATTGATTTCTATAACGAAATGAAAAGAGCAGTTTAGTATTTAGAAGAGCTAGGAAAAACAATCAATCCATCATTATACTGACAAAATTACCGTAGTGCATGATGTGAATATATATGGCATGCGCTAGTTACTAACGCTAGTGACCCTAGTGTAGCTATGTGGGAAAGCGCAAGAGCATTAAACAAATAAACTCACCTCGACATTTCGAAACAGTGATAAGACCAAGAGTGGATAGGAAATTGAGTTTCTATTAAATAATGTTTAGGAATATCAAATAGGGACAAAATATCACGTGTGATTTTATTGTATCTTGTTCTTTAAAAACTCCTTGTCTATGTTGATTTTTGGGGTATTGCTTTTTCTTACATTTCACGAAATAATAACACTAAGTACTATATAAATATGAAGTATTTTAACCAATTTTATACTGTACGTTGTACCTCTGTATTTTGTTTCCCAGCACTCCGCTGTTCAACAGGTTTGCTGTACTGTATTCCAAGAGATGCTTTTTTGGTATCAGGTCTGGCGAGAACTGTTCTCTCTATCTTACCAGTCGGCACCGTTTGCATACCAGTAGTGACCATGTCTGGTTTTCTCCTAACCTCTCGTCCCTCCTTCAGGGAAACAATGTTATTTTGTGTGATGGTTGGAATAAACTTTGTCGTCTGTGGAGAAGACATGGAGTTTACAATCTATTAAATTTTAAATAAAAATATTTTTCAATACATTAAGCGATGCATGGAGTTGCGTGCATCCCAGGGCGGGTGATCATCGGATTGTCGGGTTTTAAAACTTTTAAACTAGTAAAATTTGATTTGCATTCTTTTTTCCGTCAACCCAAGACGGTTTAAGCCCGTTTTCCACTAGGCGAATTTATTCGCGCGACGCGAAGCGATATCTGAAATCCGGTGATAGGATTGGTTGGCGAACGAATTCGCAGCGAAAAAGTATACTTTTTATCTGTTCTCCTAGTGGAAAATGGGCAACATAAAAAGGCACATATTACTTGAAATAGCCCCCCACCAGGGTAGATCTCGATCATAATTAACATACCTGTTTGTCCAACGTATTCAGACCAGAATGTCGCCCAGCACTCATGTTGATCATTGAGGGTCGACGTGGTGAACGTTCCGTTCTTGAATAATCAGAAGTGGACGGTATTTGCTAAAACATTGGCAGATGTACATCATCAAATGTTACATAATAAAAACTTGTTTAAAACTAAATCAGATTAGGTTTAGCAACATAATACATAAGAACTTTAAAAAAGTCTCTTCTGATCAATGAATATATATTGGTTATCCATAAATTTTGAGACATACACTGGTTATTTTACGTATCCTTTAAAAAAAATTTTTGTGTTAAAAAGCGTCTATATGATGGACACTTCAGTTGCACAATTCAGTAACTTCAAAAAATTACGTACATGATGGTGACTCCTTGAGAGGAGATCTTGTTCATTTGAATATACTTCTGATCTTGGTTTAATGTTCTGTTTAAGTTGTTTAACAACGTATTTCTATAAAAAATGCACTAGTCATTGATGGCGTAGGTTAATCAGAACTCCAGTTATGTGAGCAACTAACAAGATACAGTGAATTCATTGTGCCAAGCTGTACCAATTCTGTACATTTGTGCAGTTATCAAGACTTAGCCCATACATTAGGTAATACAAAGTTTCATTGTGATACCATGCAACAGGTAATTATCAAGACCAAGTAGGTTTATATTATTCGCTACCAACTAGAACCAATAATTACCAGCTGATAGTGACAAAACCCACCAAGCCTTGATTATCAGATGGCAGTGAAAAAGAATGCACTATAAGCCTTGATTACTAGCGAGTAACAAAATAAACTCACTGAGTCTTGATTACGAGCTTTGAATAACTGGTACAATAGCGAAATACAAACTCACAGAGTTGTGATCACCAGCTAATATAGTGATAAAAAACTTACCAAGCCTAAATTACCAGCAGGTAGTGACATAAACTCACAAAGTATTGATTACCTGCTGGTACCTAAATAAACTCACAAAGTATTGATTACCAGCTGCAGTAATCAAATTGATTAACCTGTAGGTGGTGAAGTAAACTCACAAACCCTTCATTACCATGCAGCTGCATGGTATTAAAAAACTCATCAAGCCACGGTGACAATTGGCTAGTTGCAGAATAAACTCACTAAGCTTGGATATTAATTATGCTCACCTGGTTGCAAAAAATAATTATATGCTAGCTGTAAGCCTTGATTACAATCTGGAATAACTATTATCAAGTCTATAGCTCAACCATATATAAAATTAATATATGATTCAATAATACATAGCACAAAAAAATAATATATGATTCAAGTAAGCATGTACTGTAGCAATATGAGGGATACTTGATACTTAACTGTATAGTGTCTTATCAATAAAGTGAGTAAAAGTACGTACATATACTTTGCAAGAACAATTTGGGTCAACTATTGCACAAGCAGACCTAACTATATTATATTAGTTTAATTTGTTTAGAGAATTTCTTCATATATTAAAGAATAAGCCTATATCATTTCTGCATACATGTATATACAATATATTTACAGATTTGCTATTGTAGATGCTTACTTCAATCATATATTTTTTTCTGCAATATTATTGAATCATATATATATAATCATATATATATATATATATATATTGAAGTTGTGTTGAACACAACTTTAACATAGTCACACTAAATAGGATGTATCATATTACACTATATGTAAGTAAACAAAATAACCACTGTTATCATTTATCACCTGAAGAGCTAAGAGAGCGAAAACGTTTGTGAATAAAGTGATATTAAAAAATACAAAGCAGTGGTTATGTTCGAATAATATCTCTCTAGTTGACAAGCAACCTTTTTCTATATATATATATATATATATATATATATATATATATATATATATATATATATATATATATATATATATATATATTATATACAGTATACATATGGTTAAGCCACCTATTTATTGTGTATATATGTATTATGATATAACTGAAGATTTAAACATGCAGACTGTACGTTGTGAACAATTTTTGGCAAGCTTGCAATACTTCAAGTATTGTGTAAAACAAAGGAAATTTATTTATTTGCATAAATAATATATTTTTTAAAGATATACAAAATGTACAGTATATATACAAGAAACACCTGTGCATTATAATTACAAAAGTTTTGTATATACTTACCAAATTTACATCTCTTAAAAGTGAAATTGGATTGCAAGTTGCAAGAAAAATTGGATTGTGTAATGCACATATGGCCTGCCTATTCTAATACTATCTTAATTTAACTTTGATTTTTATGCAATATGTTTCTTGAACAGTAGATGAAAAAGAAAGATGTTAACTAGTTAGTCAACTTGCATGAACAAAGGTATGGGTTTTTAAGGATTTTCCTAGTCGATATTTGATAAACTGTAAATCAATCATTATTAATTTGAAAATTAAAATCCCCTGGAGCCCTGCTATTTTCACAAGGCCTAGGCCCTAGGTAGGGTAACTCAGGGTTTGGGACTTTGGGCTCCTATGATTCAGAAAACCAGCCATATTTCATAAAATAAATCAACCACACTAAATTTATAGCAATGTAGCTGAACTGCATCAGCATCCACTTGATACTTTTTCTTTTTAATATTAATACATAAAAAAGTAGTTTTTCTATAAAAATTAAGTTGGGGCAGGTAATTCAATACCAAATCCCATGATACAAGCCATATGATAACACAGGCTCTCTAACTTTAATTTGCAGCTGTTATATTATATAAATAAATGTACCCATGCATATCCCAAACAACAACATTAAAACTTACTTGTTTCTCACTGAGGCTAGTTAATTCAGCTTGAAGTGATTGGACTTTCTGTTGTATTTCTATGTTCTGAAAAAAAAAGGCTTGCTCAAATTTCCCACTACCAGTGAGATCAAAATGAATTGTAGTAAAAAACAAAACATAAACGTCTGCATGTATATACATATATATACCTGGGGATCTCTTTTCATTTCCTCTATTAAGATCTAAATAGAACATTTGGATACGTACGTCAATTTTGTTGGAAATGTTACAAGATCCTGCCCTAACGTGGTTTTGGGGGACCACACATACATAGTCGTTCATGCATATCTTAAAACTCGCTCACGGATAATATCAAATGATGTGCCAACCCCACAAAAGCTACCTGAATGTATTTTTTAAAAAAACGCTATCTATATACCCATAAATACATTACAAATCTTTTAAAAAGCAAAGAGAAGCATATATGGAAAAAAGCGTATCAATATTTTAGGACTTATTTCTGCATTTTTTCAATTGAATATGTGAAGTCCATATGTCTATATGGACAAATCTCTGACGATAACATGCCGAGCGCATAACCTATATAGACGTTTATATATTTTCATGTTAGCTAGTTACGTACCTGATGTTGATGAATATGGCTTTTTAACTGGGCCTGGATTTTTTCTAAGTCCATTATCCAACCTAAACTGTGAGATCGACAAACAATATTCGGATAAAATAAAATTGAAGTAATATAACTTTGGATATTGCAGCAATGTAAATTCGTATTCCTTTCCGCCTCTAGGGAAACTCTATTTCCGAGTTTCACCCGGGAATCTCCGAAGCAACGACATGTAGTTAGGGTACTAATCTCGTATTACGAAAAAAGTACATAGGTTTACTTATAAATTGTTCACTTTTTCATCTCTTTCGGTAAACTTTTTAGGTACAATTTACTCTACGGGTTCCACACATTAGCAGAAAATACTATATAACTGCTAAATACCTCTGCAATTTATTCACGATCAGTCACCAGGCGAAAGAATAAATACCTGGGGATATAGCGCCGGGGTGGAATAACTTCAAGGGAACGTGATTCCTGGCACCTTGGTGTATGAATTATTAGAGGGAAAAGGGCAATTTACACTTCAAACAGCTGAATATCTGAATTTTAACCTGACAGCGCAATTTGAAATAAAACTATCTTCATAATGGCGAAACGAGGAGCCGCTGTTCAGTTGACAGACAGAAATTGGGACGAGGAGGAGGAAAATGAAGTGGTATAAATACCTTTATTATTTCAATATTTATTTCAAGTATGCCCACGCTGTCCCTGTAATAGATATACATATTGTTTCAGTATATTAACACGAGATGTGTTAGTGTGAATATAGAGTCAGAGAGGCAAAGTTTGGCTTTTTCTTCTCAGAATTTCAAAGCAATTAAAGATCACTGAGCTGCAAGAAACATCTGCAATAATCAAGCATGCAGTCAAACACTAATCAATTTATAGCTAACAACAGTCATCAAGCAATATAGCCAATGATTTATCTAGAAATTAATTATACAAATCTAAAAATTTACCTAAAAATTCATCCACATGCCTTCATGCCTTGGCTATTTGGGCTTCAAATTTTAAAAGATAAAAACCCATCCAGATCTGTCTATATGAATGATTGGGAATACATGCAATTAATCTAGTTTGCAAAGTTTGGTGGGATTTCTTATTTCTTGAAGTTTAAATTTTCAATTTATTCTTTCTTCTACATGAAAAACAATCCAGTCAGCCAATGTGAAATGTGGTGGAAATTAACAAACAAAAGTTTTGCCAATCTCAATTGGTTCAGTTGGCTTTGCCAGCTACTTTTCACTAAAGTAAAAAAAACGATATCTATTTTAAGACCTATATTATGTTTTCCTCACATTTCCTAACAGTCCCAACTGAAGTAAATAAAAAAAAAATCACTATTTAACTTCACGTTTATTTTTTTTTAGGCAGGCCACTTTAAAGTTGCTGATGATGATCAATTGAGCAAACGAGTGTATGTAAAAATAAATTTTTGGTTTCTTATATAACAGCTGTTCTTACATTATAGTTGAGCTATTTACTCCAATTCAAACCCAATCATTTCCTATTGAAAAAAACCTAGGGAGTAGCCTGCACTGCCTGAAATAGACAAAAATCTACATCTACACTTATTAGGTCGGTAAAATCCTATTGGATATCACACCAACCATTAACACCTTGACCTAGGGCTTTTCGATCGTCAGGAGAGTTAACTTTCTCTCTCCATTTCTCTCTCTCCTTATACTCTCTCTTGTGACAAAGGTCCTGTAGGTTGAAACATTGAGAAGTACTGTTTTTAGGAAAGAATACAATAAATCACTATATTTTGATAATATAACCTTGGAATAATGGATAATTAGTGCATAGATTTCAGTTTTAGTGCATAATGTATATATACAAGACTATGTTGCGTTATGTTGCGTTAATGTAGTTCCCAACAACTATAAACTATTGGCAATTTAAGACCCTTAGGTTTAAACAGAGAAATTTTAGGGAATGTACCAGACTCTAGTTAATTGATAGTGACTTAAAACTAATTATAACATTTCCAATGTTTTGCGTAGATAAGTTTCCATTATTTTTTTAGTTGTGATGTTCTAAATGGTTTAGTAAATTTAAATGTGGTCTGATTTTTAGAATAAGAAAGGCAAAAAGACGTGTTACAGGCAGTGATGAAACAGTAAGATGTTGCTAGTATAAGTATATAACCATGGCAAGCAGACAATTTCGGAAAATCCAAGTAAAACAGATTTTTATCTTTGGAATCTGTTTTATTTTGTATAAATTTGCTAGTATAACATAACATAGTATTGAATCATGACTTGCAGCTAAGTGACAAATCAGGTCAGGTTTCTTAAAGCACTGCAAGAACAATTTGCTTAGTTTTTTATGATCATGGAGTCCACTTGATGCAGATCCCAGCCAGATGTGTGATGAAACAGATTGTGTTTCAGGTAGCCTTCTCCACATTGGGCTTGGGTTAGCTGCATCAAGGAATACAAAGAGACATAGACCTTATGCATAATGACATATCAAGCTGTGACACCTGCAGGGAATTCTGGTTGGTAGTCATGCATGGCAAAAAATTCAAACTTCAAAACTTCCCACCGTGACTAGTACTGACTACTAAGACCAGAATTCCCTGCAGGTGTCACAGCTTGTTACGTCATTATGCATAACGTCTATTAGACCAGCTGGGGAGGTTATGTTTAAAGTAGCTTTTTAACCTCTTCACATGTTGCACATAAGCTGGTACCTAAATAGAACTGCTTGCCTCACAAGGAGACTTCTAATTTTATGCACGTATTTTCATATACATTTCGCTTGGTAGCGGTGTGCTCTCCTGTTTCCAGGACTCCCGAAAGCAGAGTTAATTATAATGTAGCTTGACCTTATCTTATGCGTGCTGGTGTTCGTAGTTACAGTACTTAATGTTACAAATGCGTTTTGTCTCTCTCCTTAGTCGGGAAGTTTTAAAAGCTTTCAAGGATTTGGTGTCCCACAAAATTCATCGACACCAATGATCAGCAATGCGCCAAATACTTTGTCTTTGACGGGATTTAAAGGCTTTGGAAATGGAAATGAAAAGAAAGGTAATTAATCATCGGGTATATTTGTAAATATTTATAGCCTATAGGATATATTTATCTATTATCACTATTAGTATTGTCTTTAAAAAATAATAATGCGGTAGTCAATAAAGAATAAGAACAGTTTTTGTTTGTTGACTGGTCATTTTTAAACACTTGTATTTGATAATCCACTTGGTCCATTTATTTAATAGCTGCTGCATTTATATGATATATAACTCGCTTGGTTTCTATTTGATCAAACTCCTCCACCTTCAACTTTCAATAAACAAATCATACGCAAAACTACACTATCAAAATTGAAACACTTTTGTAGATAATGCACAAGTAGCGACATCGGACTTGAATTCTGCTTATATGACTCAACTCAAGAGATTGAACCAAGAAGTTTGTGAGTGGATAAAGAAACATATCAATGAAAATCCGTACGTTGATTTAACACCAGTCTTTAAGGATTATGAAAAACACCTGGGAAATCTTGAGAAGAAATTCCCTGCTGCCTGCAAGCCCGTGGAAATGAGTAACATTTCCCCGAAAATTACAACATCTGGTGGAATGAGTTCTAGTGTTGTTCATAGTTTTAATGGAGGTAAGTCATTCACTGGTCAATTTCATAATCATTGACGATTATGAAAATTTTGGAATATAAGCTATAGAATGCATTGAAGGGGCATTGCAGCTGATGGCTTGAAGCTAATTGCCATGCGATTTCCTAATGCGCCACGCATGTGTTACAGTAAATGAGAAAATTAATGACAACACAGCATGATACAGTGATAGTTGATTTGCAAAGATATTTCATGTGTTACGATATGATGTTGTGTTTTATTACAATTTCCAGGTACAACTACAAATTTAAGCCGAGCTAATGACGTTAAACCTCCCGAAAGTTGTGAATCGTCAGATGACACACCACAGAATATCCAGAGTCAAGCTAAAAGGTGAGAATATATTGCATGAACCATAGCGGACTAATCTGACAGCAAAGTTTATATTCATACTGCTGAGGAATTCTATTCTGCAGGCAATGCATTTATTAGTATTGTATTAAACATCGCGGTAATATAGATTATCTTTAAATCATTTATCTTATAAAAACACGAAGATTTCAAATATATTTTTTTATAATCATGTTTAGCACACCGGAGGAAGAAGCGTTTTATTCAATTCGCTGTAAACTTTTCTTCAAACGGGACAATGACTGGTCTGAACTTGGCGTTGGAACGTTAAGTTTAAAGAAAATTACCACGGAGAAAATTCGTGTGTTAGTACGTAATGACACAGCATTGAGCAAGATACTTTTAAATATCTTCGTTAGCAATGAAACTCCCACATCACGCTCAGGAAACAATGTTTTGCTCATGAGTGTCCCCAACCCGCCTGTTTTTGGAAAGGAAGGTGATAACACAAAGCCTGTCAGTTATCTCATTCGTGTAAAAACGTCAGAAAAGGCAGATGAATTACGAAACAATTTAAAAACATCTGATGATTAGATCATTTTGGTGAAGCTTTTGTGACATTTCCTGTGGAGGTCCATGAACAGAACGCGATGTAAATAACAGATCCTGCTTTCTACGTGCAATTCCTTAACAGAAGTTAGAATATAGTTTTTGCAAGCTGTTTCAGTAATCATAATTTAATACCGGCATTAAAGAAACCGAGTTCATTTATAACGCTTTATAACAAAAGAAATATTTTGATCAAATTTGAGAAATATTTTAGACTTTTACATCAATTTGGCATGGTGTATTTATTTTTATGTGCACGATGTAGTAATCCTGTTCAGTAAAAATTAAAACTAAAAAGAAATTAAATCAACATCATTTAGTCCGTCGTTGAATTTATCGTGTCACTCAGTGAGTGTAAATATGCACATTGTCATTGACTTTGTGCGTTACTGTCCTCAATTGTGTACGATGTGCCGAATATATACCCTGGACCTGGTCGTTGTGAAAAATGTTGAGACGTCACTTATTGCGGAGATTTCAGGTGGATAAACCAAATATACGTACCGTCACAACTCGGCTATCGTTCAAACCTACATGCATCATTGACAATGTAGTCATGACTCATGAGGAGTTTTATCACGGAATCAATCTTTTAATAGCATCATAACCAAGATTGACATTCGATTCACGCGATGCATTA